CCGACACTGATACATTAGTGCTCTCCAAAGCAAATGCACTGCCGCGTGCTCTCGTAGGCAGTGCTCCTATTCCTCCACGCCCATCAGCACGCGGTCTGTCCTCCTGATCAAGGCCATCCCAGCGGGTGTGCAGTATCATCTCCTTGTGGGTCTGAATTGTCTTTCCCTAACACGTAATGACACCGAGCATGTTTTCGTGGCTTGCTGACCGTCTGTACATTGCCTGTGCAGAAATGTCTGTTTGATACTCTTGCCCATTTTAAACTGGGTGTGATTTTACTCTTAAGTTGTAAGAATTCTTTGCATATTCTGGGTTCTATGCTTGACAGTTATTAAATATATATATATATATATATATATATATGGTATGTCAACATTTCTGTCATTCTGTGCACTGTCTTTTCACAGCATAATTCCGCTTACAGGAAATGTTCAGAAGCGGTGAATCCATAGAGTCCAAAACAAGATCAGTGGCACCAGGAACTGGGGGGTGAGGGGGCGAGAGGAGTGATCATGAGGAGCTCGTAACCCATAGGTGTGTCCCACAACAGGAGCAATTTCCCTGAATGCTAATTTTTTAAAAGACACTGAAAAGACTGAAGACACAAAAGCTTTAACCTATTTTTTGTCGTTGCTTGTGCTTTCAGTGTCATGTAAGAAACTATCGCCTAGTACAAGGTGACGAAAATTTGCACCTATGTTTTCTTCTAAGAGCTTTCTAGTTGTAGCTCTTTAGGTCTTTTATCCACTTCGAGTGTGTCCTTGTGTTTGATGTGATAGGGAGCCAACTCAATCTTCTGCTTGTATCTCTCAGGTTATCTTGGCACCACTTGGGCAGTCTTTCCCCACTGAATGATCTTGGGACTCTTACTGGAAATCAGCCATGGGTTTATTTCTAGACTATCAGTTCTACTCCATCGATCTATATATCTATCCTTATGCAAGTACCACAGTTATCTTGATTATTATAAATTCGTAGCAGGCTTACAAGTGGGAAATATGCGTCTTTCAACTCAATTCTTTTTAAAGATCATTTTGGCCATTGAAGGCCCTTGCGATGCCAGATGAACTTTGGGATCGGCTCGTCCATTTCTTTTAGAAAAGGGCAGACAGTTCTGGATATGGATTGTTTTGAACTTGTAAATAATTTGGGGAGTACCGCCATCTTAATACAGCTGTCTGTCACTTAACAATGGGGATGCTTCTAAGAAACGTCATGAGGCAATTTTGTTGTGCAAACGCTGCAGCCATAGCCTAGGCAAAGGTCCTCCTCAGGTACTAGACGCTAAAACCTGCTGTAACTCTGTGACCCATTGGTTGGATCAAAGAGGCAGCGTTTGGAGGAAGAAACACCATTTTGATATTGGTACGAAGATCACCAGGAGGAGGATGCAAGGAGCATTATCAATAAGCAAAATCTTGAAAAGACGTTATTCTCCAAAGAGTACTTCTCCATTCTGTGGGCTCAGCAATTCAGAGGCCATCCGCAAGCCCAGCTGGCACACCCTGTAGCCCACGGGCAAGTGCTTACCGATATGCCTCGGGTTCTCACTGTGCCAGGTCACAAAGGGTTTTAATTTATAGCCCGCACAACTGCCCCAAGCAAGACTGCTACCTTGTCCTCAGAAGCCTTGAAACCTGGCACTGACCCAGCGTCTTTATGGATGGAAGTTTTCAGTCACTCATCAGTTTCCAGAATAGGGAGGTGTTGTTCATTTTAAAGATTTGCTCTGGCAAGTAATTCTCTTCCACAATTAGCTACCCAGAGTTTCCACAAAAACTTTCGACTGCCTTTACATCAGCATTCAGACTCACCACTTGCTTTCACATTATGGAACAATTAATGATTCTTGCATCATTTAAACCACCCAGAGCTAGCATTCATTCAACAGGTCCAAACTTTTCTTTCAACATCACAAGCTTTTTTTTTTTTTTTTTAAGATTTATTTATTTATACAAGCACTGTGTACAGTCAGTGGCGCCGGAGGGTGAGAGAATTCGCCAGAGCCAGAGTGGAGAGCAGAACAGGCAGAGTGACGAAGTACACTGCTGAGGGGAGCAGCGGGCGGCGAGAGGTCTGCGCGCCATGTGGGCCCCTCGCCCGGTGACCAGGGATCGAACAGGCGCTGCAGAGGCTCTGGGCAGCTTCGCAACCCAGCGCTCAACAGCTGCACCACCGGGGAGGCCCAACATCACAAACTTTTTGCTTTGGTCCTGACTGTGATGGTGCTGAGAGGGATATACTCTGTGTGTCTTCAATCCAAGTCAGTAGAAGTTTCTCCATATTTGATAATAGCCATTCTAGAATTTTTGCTACATTTAATATGTTAGCCTCCAGCTACTACTGTTATTATTACATAAATCACTTAAATTCTATGTCAGGCATAAAATAAAGTTAAATGTTTAATAGAACTCTGAAAGATAGATTGAAAGAAGTCTTGTATACTAAGGCAAGAATAATATGATCTATACCATAGTCCTCCAAGGAGCTACTGAAATTTTCTAAGTCATATAAATTTTAGAATTAGAAGTTTTAGAGAATAACTAGTAGCCAGTGACCGATAATGGAAACGGGGAAGGAAGGGTTGTGTTTTTTAGATGCCTGAATGAGAACAAATGAATTATCAAGTGATGAACAGGTTAACTAAGGCAGTGCAAGAATATAAAGCAGGAAACATAAAGAGAGATTGAGGTGACTGATACTTGAGAAGCCTTTTATTTGGACTGTCTCCAGTCAGTCTTACAATTCTTCCTTTCTAACTTAATTAGGTTAAGGGTTAAGGTTTCTCCTACCCTAGTTCTTGATTCATGTGCCCTGGTAATACTACTTTTATAGTCCTTCACAGTGCTGTAACACCAATTTATTTGATCCTCTCAAAACAAGTACAGACAGGCATTCTAGAGAGGATGACTTTAAAGAGTTCAAAGGGTACCACCAGGCCAGACCCTAGATGCCCTGAGAGTTGAGCCCTGTGGGGAATAACACATAGGATCTACAGTTTGCTGGGCTGACAGGGCTATTGAGGGAGCAGCAATAAATCTTCATGAGCTTTTCCTCCTGGCTTGTTATAGACAACGCTTTGTTTCTCATCTCTGTTCAGGATCATTGTGAAAACGCATTTAGAGGCCTGCGAATCAAGAAGGTCACTGCCAGTGTCTTTCCTGCCTTTCATCGCCATTCCTGTAGTGGAGTCCGGTGCATGCAGTGGAGCACAGTATAAACCACTTATATTCCAGACGAGTGAAGGGATAGCTGTCACTAACAAACTGCTGGCTGAAGCCACAGAACTGACTTTCCAGATATCTTTGCTTGGATAAGGAAGTGGCATCGCAGGGTGTAATGATCCATATTTTATTCCCAACAGAAATTAGGAAAAATATTGCAGCTCTCTCAGTTTTGCAATGTCATAGTAACAGACTGGCTCCTCCTAGAGGTATTACAGGTTGTTCTGCTTGAGAACACACGTGCCCACCCGTGTATTTCTCACTGCTGGTGCTGTTCATTTCCTCGAAGAGATCTAAGTTCCCAGCTGGTATTATCTTGGTCCCCTTGCTCTTCTACACACAGTTCCACAAAAACGTAATTTTCACACAAATCAAATATTTTCTCCTATGCAAGATAATCGGTTCATTTAAAACACTCGGTCCGAGCACCCTCCTGCACGTTTGTTTCCATTTCTCACACTGCTCTTCAGTCACTGCCGTGTGTGCTGAGGCTAGTTCCACAGAAGATGAGGAGAGTCTTGTCCGACTCTGCACCCCTTGCGTGGCTGGAAGCTCCCCTCTCTGTCGCGGGCTCGCTGAGGCTCCCCGGGCCCCACCGTGCGCTCGCTCGGCGTCCGCGGGCGACCTGGTCTACGCGAGCCACCCCTGGCGCCTCCCGTGGGGTACGTGCACGTCATCTGTTACCCCAAGTCCCGGGCCGAGTTTCCTTCCAGAGACTAATCTGAATAGTGAAAATGTTAGGGCGAAAGGGTGTCCTGAGGGCCCCGAGTCAGGCAGCCATTCCACACCGGGTGCCCCGTCACCAGAGCCCGCGTCTCCCCTCGAGTGAACACTCACGCCTCTTCCACCGTCTCCACGCCGCGCTCGCCAAACTGCTTGGCTCTGCTTAAAGTCAGTGTCTCAGAACGGAGCCTCCTCGAGGGCCGGCGCCACCACAGGCGCCCGGCTCCCGCCGCCCGGCGGCCTTCACGCGGCTCCCGCCAAGCCGCGCCGCCGGCCCCCGGCCCGGGGCGAGCCCGCCGAGCCCTTCCGAGCACGCGCGGCGCCTCGGCGCGCCCCTTACGTCACAGCGCCGCGGGCGGGACTTCCGGCGGAAGCCGGAAGCAGGAAGGCGCCGCGGCCGAGATCGGGCGCCGGGCCGGGGCGCGGGGCCCCACGGTGCGCCGGGCTGAGCGCACCCGCGCCCCGGCCTCGCTCCCCGCACGCGGGGCCCCGCCCTCTCGGGCAGCTCGCGGGGCTCGGGGGCGGCTCCGCGGGGGGGGCTGTGCACGTCGCCCCGGACGTCGAGACGGGCGCGGCCCCCCTGGGGTCGCCCCCTCGCCCCGTGGAGCTCGAGCCAAGTGCGGGCGGGGGCGCGCGCGGACGCCCACCCCGCGGAAAGCACGGCCGGGCCGCAGCCGGTGCGCGCCTCCCGCCTCCCGCCGCGCAGGTCGGTGGCTGCGGAGGGCGGCGGCCCGAGCGGGCGGGGCGGTGGGCGCAGGGGCAGCGCCGGGAGCTGCCGGTGTCCACCCTTCAGAGCCCGGACCGAGGGGACCCGGCCGTCGTTTCTGCCCGGCCGCGCCAGCTGCTGTGTGTGGTAACGAGATGGCGACGGAGCATTCCCTGCCTGCTCCGTGCTTGTACCCAGGAAGGCCTGGCTTTGTAGACGCGCGCTGCCGCGGAGGACACGGCCCTGCGCTCGCTGGGAATATCTGCTGTACCCACCGTGGCCGTGTTGACCCCAGACATTGCCTGAAGCTGAAAGCGGCTGTTGCCAGCAAGTCCAGGTGAGCTGCTGTGGCTCGTTGCGGTCCCACCTCGCTGTTTCAGCAGCGTTGGGGTTGGTGCTCACACTGCCCGCCGTATTGCGCGCGTGCCAGGGTCTCTCTGCTCTGATGACGTGCAGATATGTGGCAGGAAAGTGGGCAAGTGTAGAGGGTTGCAGGGTTGCACATTTGCAAAACCTGGAAGTCTTGGGTGTCAGATCCCTCAGGTATGTTGGAAGAGAAGAAAGCCTGAGAATGATTCCTTTATTTTTAACCCCTCCCTCCCCCCTCCCACCTCCAACAAGAAGCGCTGTTGTTTCTGTGTTGTGATCTTTCAAAAATCACAAAGGTACAGTTCCTGGCTTTCATTTGCTTACAGTCAAGTGAAGTAGACACAGTTCACCTAAGTATTATCGAAGAGATGTAATTAGCACTTAACTCAGCTCAGGGGTGTTGGGAGGTGGGGGGAGTTAGGCAGCCTTCCAAGAAATGACTTTTGAGCTCTACAGACGCTAGGTGGACAGGGGTGCGCAGGTGCCATTCCAACGGCTAGCTCCCAGTGAATGTATTATCTTGTCTCCAATCCAGTCTATTTTAATTAATTTATTAATTTATTTTTAATTGTTTAAAAGGTTGCTCATTTTAAAATTTCTTTTAAGGATTTATTTATTTATGCATACAAGAATGGGGGTAAAGGCCAGAGGGTGGGGTGGTGAGAGGATTCACCAGAGACAGAGTGGGGAACAGAACAGGCAGATTGACTGAAATACACTGCTGAGGGGAGCAGCGGGCAAGTCAGGAGAGGTCTGCTGCACCATGTGGGAAGCTCCCTGGCCGGGGATCAAACTCATCTGCAGCGCCTGCTGACAGCTTCCTAGGTTGCGTCTTAACCCCTTGCGCCACCAGGGAGGCCCCTATTTGAATTTAAGGGCCTCTTGAGCTTCTTTCAAAGACAAGAGACACACTGAGGTGTAGAAATGAGCCTGTGGTGAGTCCGCAGGTTGCTAGAGTCTAAGTTTTGTCACAGAAACATTGTCATTGGCCATATCTGAGCAACTGGGTTGTTTGAATCAACTGCAAGTGCATAATTCAAAGAAATGACTGTCATTTCACCAGGATTTGGGTAAGTTGGAAATGGAGCAGCTCAATTCTGTGAAAGTTTGGAAAATGAACAAGGAGTCAGTGAGTTGGACTTAATTTTTTCTGGGGTTGGGGAGGAAACAGCAGTGAATAGGCAGGACATGAGTTTCCTGGCCAAGACCAGGGCCTGTTGAGGAGCAGCTCTGTAAGGGTCACGGTCTGGGTGCTGTGCCTGGGTCATCTTGCTCTCCTTCCAGGAGATGGCCTCACTGACCAGCTAGTATCCCTCCAGATCACAAAGCTCTTTTCTCATATTACCTTCATTAGCGAATGGTTGCAGTGAAGCAAGCGGATGTAACCGTTCAAATCTCGTAAAACTTGAAGTTATATAAGGACTAGATGTCACTCCCTGCTGACGTGATGGGCTGGACTTGGTCATGTTCTCTGGAGACTAAGAACGGAGTCCTTGAAGTCAAGCCGACTCTGCCTGGAGCCTCCTAAATGAAAAGGTAGAGAGAACAGGTCTTGGCTGCAAGGGAAACCCAAGACCTGCTTATCTACCGACAGCACCTCTGTGCTTCCCATTGCCTTCAGGTAGAAGCAGGACTGTCCAGGTGAGCGGTGAGAAAGGGCAGAGGAGGGCCTCTTCTGCTCCTGAGCGTTAGGCAGGGGACTTGCTTACGCAGGAAGTTGTTTAGGAAAGCGGAGGAGGGCCTGTGCTGCAGTGCAGTCTTCAGGGCCTCGCGGAGTTTTCTGGCAGCTTAACTCAGACAGGTACCATGTCCCCAGCCCCCCTTCTCTGTAGCCAGTACACACACCGAGGTGTTTTGAGACACCACACAACTTCTGTTGCAGTGTACTGTTAGATTTGTCTTACTTTATTATTGCTAATCCCTTACTGTGCCTAATTTGTTAGTTAAACTATCATCTGTATGCAGAGGAAAAAGACAGTATGTGCAAGGCTCCGCACTGGGCATGGTTTCCGGCTTCCCTGGGTGTCGGGAACGTGTCGTGCAGGCTGTCGTCTCATACAGACTCCACATGGTGGGGCCTTGTGCTGGGGCTTCTGCCAGAGACTGAGTGTCACCAGTTTTGCAGAATGAGAAGTGTTACTAAGGCTTCGGCCAGGCGCTAGCTCTGCTTCACCCTGATGGCCAAGCACACGCTTCAGGTTCTGACATGGCGCAGGTGACAGTGTATTGTTAGGGCCAACAGGAAGTCAGTTAAACACACTTTTCCAAGTACTCCAACTAATTTTATCAGAAATCACTGTCATTTTATATCCTGTGTCTCTAACCAACTCTCTAACCCATAGAGTGTCTTAAATTCTGTTTACTAAGCCCATGTTCTCATCATGGTGAAGCCAAAGCTTGTGTCTGGTGAAGCCAAAGCTTGTGTTGTCACTTGCTCTAGAGTTAGAAGGTGATACAGGTAAAGCTAAGAAAAGAACAGACTTTGAAAGCTTTGTTTTAACAGCCCCACATCAGGGGTTATGACTACAATGGTCTGACTTCTTAATCTTTTTTCTGCTTTGTTTTTTTGACAGATTTATCGGCAGGTTGCAGGGGGACATGGCCTTGAGGTAAATCCTGCCACTTGTTGAAATTCAGTTTCAGCAGGTTGTCTGTGGTGTTTTAAGGAATGGGAATATTTTATTAAAAAAAATAACAAAAACTTTTGTTTGATTCCGTCCTAGATTTATTTTTTCCTGAAGATGAGAAATGTATTCAAACAAAGGTTCTTTATGCTGAGAAACCGGATACTTGAGGTTGGTCACCGGCCTTGTTTAAGTGGGTTTTAAACGTCAGAGCTAAGTCTAGACAGCCTTTCTTGGTCAAATAAAATTTTATTGAAATCTCACAGGTGCCAGGTCTTTGTCCATGTCCGTGTCCCCAGTGAGGCCTGTTGGAGCCCTGCCTTCCCTCACGTTTGCCTGGTCTCTCCGGCCTGTCCCACCTGGGGGGCTTTTTCCGTTACTGATGACATTTTTTTAAACATACATTTTTTGTTTATATCTTGAGCCATCTCTGTGCTGACATGGGTGATTCCTTACTTTGGGGTAGTGACCCAGCTTGGCAGGGCAGTTGTGTGCGTGCGTGTGTGTGTGCACATGCGTGCATGAAGCTATGAGGCTGTTGAGGTGAGTTATTCAGGAACCCCAACCACTGTTTACACCAATAGGCAGGGCGGAGACAGGCGCTGGGCCACGCTCCTCCTGTTGGACGTGCTCAGGCTGCGGACGAGGCCAGGGTCAGCGGTCAGTAGAAAGCCACGTGCTTCGGCGTGGGAATGCCGTTCTGTATCGTTAGACGTCCGGGCTTTTCCAAAGAAAAACAGGGATGCACACATTGGGGGAGCTGACAGCTGAATGTGTAGAGGTGCTGAGAAATGTCCACATTGAAAAATGACAGCTTGGAATTGTCATAGTCTAGGAGAACGCCGAGCTTCCTGGGGGCCACCGTTACTCTTATGTCTGGGCTCATCTTGTCGTGTAGGAATTCATACTTGTGCCTAAGAGTCAACGGTGACACAACAGCTTCAGGAACTGCCGCTGTTTACAGGATGTTTCCTACTCGACCGCGTTATTCAGTCACTGCCGAAGTGACCGGCCACGTCTAACATGATAAACCTCTTTTCTAAACCTTGTCTAAGAAATGCATTTTGCACTTCGTCAGCGTCGGCGCTTGGGGGCTAGATGTGTAAATCCTTTGTCGCAAGGAGCTCTGAAGCGGAACCTCAGCCTTGCAATAAAATGAGCCCGTTTGTTACGCTCAGGGCCCGGTTCTTACACTTGCCCGCACGGCCGTCCCGGCCCACAGCCCCTGCGCGCCTTCACCTGAGCCGGCTCTGGCTCCGGGGGCTCCTGACTGTGACCTGCAGACTGTGAGGAGCTCAGGGCCAGTGTGCGGCCCCAGGACTGGGGTGCCCACCTGGAGCACCAGCCGGAGACGTGGGTGGTCTGGCGGCCGGTGTCTGACCCGGGTTTTTATCTCAGAAGCTGAGACGGTCCTTGCCCTCCCTCCCCTCCTACAAGAGCCTAAGACGGAACCACAGGGTACCGTCACCTGCCGCCCTTCCCTCGCCCTCCACTGACCACTCCTCCGCTGACCAGCCGCCTCCCATTCCACGCACCCCAGCACTTCCCTTGTGATGCGGCACGGGCCGAGCAGGCCCCGAGAGCGCCGGCAGCAAGCAGCCCACCCGGGCCCACGCAGGAGGGGCCCTCATGCACACCACAGCCCCAGGAGTCCCGTAACCCTGTAAAGACCCGCTCTCCGCATTTGGGGGGCACCTCAGCCTGCAGGGAGTCGTCCCTTACGGACCTCCAGTATAGCCCGCATCAGCCCGGTGCTCCCGCCTCCCCTTCCTGACACCTTTTGTCCCTCAGCTTTTCTCGGCCCCTTGCTCTTGCCCTTCCTGGAGAGGAGACTGGCTTTCAGTCTGACTTCAGACAAAACCTCCAAATGTGACATTTGGCTCAGCGCACAGTGGTTTCCTGCGCTCCCCCGGCTCTGAGCTGGGGTGTCCAGGACAGTGTCTTAGAGGGAGCCAACCGCCCACCCTTGCCTGCTTGGAGGCTCGTGGGCCAGAAGACGGAGGGCGCTTGAGCAGGATGCAGCAAGCCCGAGGCCCGCACTACAAAGGGTGCGCGGCCATGGCCTCTAAGCAGGGTGCCGCCTGGGGGGGCCCCTGGGCTTCTGCTCCCCAGGAGAGCGGTGCCCCAGGAGCAAACCAGAGGGAGCCACAGCCACTAACCTTCCACCCACATCCACTTAAAGAGAAGAAATTGGGCCTCGGGGCACACGCCCCGTGTAATAAGAGGGCAGTGCCCATAAAATGGGAGCGGAGCCGCTTCGCTCCAGAGCAGGCGGCGGGGCCTGGACGCCAGCTGCAGCCGAGAGGGCCGGCCAGCCCAGCCTTTTAGAGGCGGGAAATCCCACCTGAGAGAAGGGAGGGGCAGTCCTCGGAAGAGGGAGGGGTTCGTGGGTGGCTCTAAGCGCCCCCTGAATTCCCGCTATTTTTGTCCAAGAGGGCGGTGCCCCCTGGCTCTTGCCCGCTCGGCACCTGAGGGGCAGGGGCCGAAGTCCCGGCACACCTGGACCCGCTCGTCCGACGGGCCGCGGGGCTGGCGGAGCCTCCGCCGGACTTACCCCGCCGAGGCCAGGGTGTGCCGCAGGCACCAGGACTGGGCGTTGGCCCCCAGGTCCTCCTGTCTGGGCGCCTCTGCCCAGGCCACGCCCACCGTGTAGTCCAGGCGCTCGTCCACCTCCACCTCCCAGTAGTGGCGCCCGCGGACGGGTGTCAGGTCCCCCAGGACAGCAACGCACCTGCGGGGGAGGCGGGGGCATGTAGGGGGGTCCAGGCGACTCACGCCAGCCGGGGTGGACGGGGCCATCCGCGGGCGGCCTGTAAGCCGGGACCCTTGTGCCACTGTCGGCAGGCTCCCGCCCTGCTGTCCTGCTGTGGAACTCCCGCCTGGGGCACCGGGCACCCTATCAGCTTTGCTCTGGGTAGGGGGGTTACAGCTGCGCCGTGTGGGGTGCCGGCCTTCTTGGTCTCCCCTGCCTGACCACCCCCCAGAAGCCACAACCAGTGTCTCCCGCCCACCAGGCCCCTGAGCCCTCATCATTCCTGGGATTCTCTCCCCCTCCCAGGCTGCACCTGTCAGTCACCATCCAGTTGTACGCAACGGTGCGTGGTTATTTGGGGGGAGGGTCACAGAATGTGGGCGCTTGATAAAGTACCTGGTGAAGCGGTTGTTGCTGGGGCTCGGCTCCCTTGCGGGGGGTCTCCTCTCTCGCACAACCGTCAGCCCATCCTCCGACACGCTCAGCCAGGGGTGGCAGGTGTGAGGGTTCAGGCGGAAGTGGCTGCCTGCAGGGGAGGGGGCCCGGCCCTCAGCACCCGCCCAGTGCTGCGGCCCCGGCCCCGGTGCCTGCGCCCACCTCAGGGAGGCCGGGCATGCCCTGGTGCCCAGCGCTGAGCTGGCCAGTCTGCGCCCCCTCTGCTGAGCCCGCCATGCCCCTGAGAAGCCGGAACTGCTGCTTCCGCTCTAGGGGAGGACGCCGAGGCACTGGCGGCCAGAAAATCAGCCGGCAAAGTTAGATCAAATTCAGCCCTTGGCCCCTGATTCCCAAAGCTCAGTGCCCGCACCTGGAGGGGGGTTCCAGGAGCGCTGGAGGGGGCTCTTGGCCGTCAGCTCCACCAACCAGCAAGCCCAACACTCTGGGCAAGGATGGTGTGGGGGGAGGGGCCCAGTGCCCCACAGTGTGGGGTTCAGAACAGCCCACCACCCCTGTACCTCGGGACACTGAGCGGCTTGGCAGTGCCTGGACAGCAGCAGGTGGGGTGGCCCAGAGCTGCCTGTCGCTCAGGGCTGGCGTGAAGACTGGACAACCGAGCCCAGTGAGACAGGACAGGGCTGGGGAATGGGCACCCCTAGGGCCAGTAGTGCCCAGAGGAGGCTGGGCCCCAGCTCTTCCGGGCTCTGGGGCGGGAGGTGCTGGGCTTGACCCCAGTGATAGGGGTAGGAGCCAGGTCAGCCCCGGGCGGTCTGTAAGTTCAGCCTGTGTCACAGAACAGGAGTGCAGGGTGACACCTGAGGGGCGTGGAGGAAACCAGGGTTCAGATACATGCTCGGCCCCCAAACTGCTCTATGCTCTGGGCCTCAGTCCCCCCATCCGTGAGTGGAGCCCGTCGACCCCGATCTCCCCAGCCCTTCCCTGGTTTCCGTGGAGGCGGCAGCAGCTGGCTCTGCCCTGGGCTCGAGCGGTGCGCAGACCTGTGGTGTGGACAGTGGCGGGCTGGCTCCTGGCACTGGCCCCCGCCGCGTTCACGGCTCGCACGTAGAGGGTGTAGCTCTGCCGGGGCTGCAGCTGCACCAGGGCCTCTCGGGCCGGGATCCCCACGACAGACCTGCGGGACGTGGGCTGCCGTCACCATCGCTGTGAGCCGGCCGTGGCAACAGGCCTGGCTCCCGCCTCCCTCCGAGCCGGGATTGGGCACCCACCCTGCGGCCCTGGGCGTCAGGTGCCCCTGAAGCGTCACCGCAAATCGCCAAGGAAGCAGCCCCCACCCCCGTGTGACCTCTCCAGCTCTTGCCACCAGGGCGCGCTTGAGCCTTCGGCTGCCATCACCAGGACCCGGCGGGCCCTGCACACTGAACGGGAATCTGTCTCGCTCTCCCTCTCCCGCTTCAGCTGCAGCCTGAGGGCCGTTCACTTCCTCCCGCGGGTGGAGGCTGCCCCCTCGCAGGCCCCGCCCGCTCAGGTCTCCGTGTCCACTTGATCCTGGGCAGCCCCTCGCCGCCACCAGGCTCCACTCAGTGCCCTCCCTCCCCCCGCAGCTCTGGGCACCGGATGCATTTGTCTTTGTCCATGTCCCACCTCGGCTGCCCGCACCACAGGGCAGAGTCGCTGCCCAGTTCGCCTGCTCCAGGCACAGACCTGGCCCGCCAGGCACTCAGTCTTGTTGCCTGAGTGATGGCGGCTCGTGGGCCACCCTCCCACCACACGGCCTTCCCTCCAGTGTTGGCAGCGTCCTGGCCACTCACACGAAGATCACACATGCCTTGAGGGGTCCCCCGGGTCACGGGTCCTGGCCTCCCCCGCAGACACTGCGCAGCCCTAGCAGTGGCCCCAGCACCCGGCCAGCGCCTGGACACTCACTCAGTCACACCCAAGGCCCCGGCCGTCTCCACCGGGGTCAGCTCCACCGTGTACGAGTCCACAGGGTTCGGGTCCCCCGGCTCCCAGGCGATCAGCGCAGCCTCCTCGCAGCTCCTCAGCGCTTCGCTTCTTATGATGGGGGGAGATGGTGCTGAGGGCGGGGGGAGAAATAGGGGCGAGAGGAACATGCAGCCGTCCTGGGCAAGCTCCCAGCCGCACCAGACAGCTTGCACGCACGGCCTAGGTGATGGTCTCTGGGGGTGGGGCCTTCGGGAGGTGATTAGGTTATGAGGCCGGAGGGGTCTCTTGGAGACCCCAGAGAGCTCCCTTGCCCCGTCTGCCACGAGAGGACGCAGCCAACTGCCACCTGGGCCAGGCAGGCCTCACCGGGGCAGCGTCCCGGAGCCTCGCCTGGACCTGCGGCCTCCAGAACCGTGAGAATAAATTTCCGCTGCCGTGGGCCAGGCCATAGGCTCCGTCAGAGCAGCCGATGGCCCAGGCACCCAAGGCCCTTGGTGAGGCCCTGGAGTGGGGGGTGGCAGGTGCACGGGCACCGTGACCAGAGCAAGTGGCCACGCCGGGCCCAGCGAGCGGGTGTGTCTGATGAAAGAGACTCCGGCGTGGCAGCCCTGCCCTGGGAGCGAGGCGGGACGGGGCGGCACGGGAGGAGGGCCGGGGAGGAGGCCGTACCTGTGGTGTACACCACACGCTCGCTGGCGGGGCTCCGGCCGGCCCTGTTCTGAGCCGTCACCCAGAACTCGTACTGGGTGTTGGGCTCCAGGTTGGTCACCGAGCAGTACGTTTCCTTGACGGTCAAGGTGAACTCTGAGAAGGGGCGACAGACTCAGGTCTAAAACGGGTCATAGGCCCCGAGCTCATTGCAACCCCGCCACCCAGATGACAAGACTCCCCACAAGCTCCCCAGCCGCCAGCCGTCTCTGCGCTGTGACAGCTGACCCTCCGTGCGAGGGTGTCTCTCCCCGGTCCCTGGGGGCTTGGCCGTGCGGCCCACTTCGGCCAGTGGGACAGCAGCAAACAGGACAGGGCGTGGGGTGCGGGGGCCAGGGCTCGTCCCCTGCCCCTGGGACGCTCTCCGACCAGCATGGTCACCCCATCCCTTCACCCCAGCACCCCTGTAAGGCCCTGGACTTGTGAGACCATCCCATGCCATGCCAGCCTGCACGAGCCAGCCTCACCAGAGCTGCCAGCCCAGAGAGTCCTGAGAAACAACGTGTGCGGTCATGTTAAGTCAATTTGTTGTGTACATATGTCTGTGTGTGTGCATGTCTGCATGTGTGCGTGTGCATGTGGATGTGTGTACGGGCCTGTGCACATGCATGTATGTGAGAGTGGGTGCACGCGTGTGTGCATCTGCACGCATGGATGTCTGTGTGGACGCACATGTGTGTGGGTGTGTGCATGTGTGTGGGGCTGTTGTCACACAGCAAAGTCCACCTGGCGCCCCCAGGCCTCCCAAGCCTCTTGAAGGCAGTGATCCTCACGACCCTCCCTCTGGGAGCAGCTCCCTTATAACCAAGGGGTTCACTTAATAGTCTGCTCCATGGGGCGTGGGGCGAGCACGTACTCCTGGGACTCACAGCACTGGCAAGTCAGGTCACCGCAATGGGAAATAAAGTAAAATCCCACATGGCTGGCCTGGCCACAAGCCGACACCGTGGCTCCTGCTTGTGGACTCGTGACCAAAGTCTGGTTACTCAGCTCTCACTTCCTCCAGAGCCCCTTCCCCCCATGTCGCGGGGCAGAACCCCTCACGGAGCCCCAGCACCATGGCCAGGCCAGGAGAGCAGAGCCTGGGCCTGGTGCAGCTGTGGCTCATGGGGCCCAGGGCAGCTCATTCCCCTGGGTCTCAGCTGCCTCGTCCACGGGGGCATCCACACGGCAGGCCCCGCTGGCCAGCCCTGATCCCAAGTTACTCCACGGCTCAGCTGGGCCCCTCCGCTGCCTGGGCCTCTCTCCCCAGCAGGGCAGAAGCTCTGTGATTACAGGGGTCAGCCCCCCAGTCACCCTGGGAGGGGGCTAGGCCAAGAGCTGCTGGTGGAGGAGGGGGCAACTCTCAGGAGTGGCTCAGTCTGGGGGTGTGGGCCTGGGCAGCAGCCTCCCAGGCTGCAGCAGCTCCCCCTACTCTGCTGGGGGCTGCAGACGAACCTCTGCTGCTCCTGGTGCTCTGAGATGCGCCAGCCTGCCCTCGCCTGCCAGCACAATCTCCAGCCCGCCTAGCGGAGGCAGAGCTCACCTGGCACCCCAACACGTCTGCTGCCCGGGCCGCATTCCAGAAACCAGCAGCCCGTGCCCTCCCCGCCAGGCCAGCGGCTTCCAGCCCTTTCTGTGAGCTGACTGCCTGCAGCCCGGCCTCTGGGAGTCCCAACCCGACCGCCCGGCGTGGGCCCAGCGCACCCGCCTGCTCGGGCCCCGGGGAGCCGTTGCGCGCGGGCCGGCAGCACAGCAGGTAGCTCTCCACGGTGTCGTCCGAGCACAGGCTCCAGCACACGCGGACCGAGGTGCCCGTCGCCGAGCTGGGGGCCTGCGGGTTGATGACGGGTGCGGAAGGAGCTGGAAGTGAGCGAGACAGGATGGAATGAGCAGCCTGCGTCGTCTGGGGCGGGAGCGGTCCCCGTGACAGGCCCCGCAGGGGCGTGGGCAGGGGCTCGGGCAGAGGAAGCGGGCGCCTGGACTGGACAGGACGGGAGGACAGCAGTAAGTCCCTGTCTGCCTGGGGAGAGGGGGAGGCGGCTGGGGCTGATGGAGTCTCCTCTGATGAGGGGGCCAGTCAGCCCACAGCACGGCTGCTCCCGCCCCCCCAGGGAACAGTGTGAAGGGGCCGTCAACGGGAGGCCCTGCTGCCCTCTCCCGCGTGGCCAGGGGTGCTCCTCACACCTGCTTCTCTAGTGTCCAGTTGGGTTTGTTCCCCATTGCCCCATGGCTAACGCTCCTGCGCCCCCAGCCCCACACAGCCAGAAACACCTGGCTGCCGTGCGGCGCCTGGGGCGCCTCCCCCAGAACACCCTGGTTCCGTATTCTGAGGCCGCTCGGGCCAGGTGCGGGCGCAGCCACCTGACAGCCCGTCAGCACAGCCCGGGTGCCCCCGCCACGCTGTGCACCCCACGGGGGTGTGGGTGGCGGACGAAGGCCGGCAAGGAAGCGGGAGCTAGAGCAGCCTCAGAACCGCCCACAGCGACATTTTCGGAGCCACCTCGTGCCAGGGTCGCCCTGAGCGCCCGTGAGCCCAAGCTACCCCCGGCAGACCCCGGGGCTGGCAGGCAGGGCCAGTGTGCGGCCGGCGGGGAGTGGGCCCAAAGCCCATCTCAGCCACGAGGCTGGGTGAGGAGCCAGCACTTGGGCTCCCGGCCGGGGGGCTGTGTGGGGAAAAGCCCGGGGGACCCTGGAAAATGAGGTCTCCCTCTGCCCCCCGCCCGAGCCGCAGCTGGGCAGAAGGCACTCATTTCCAGCCCGGAGCTTTTTGGCCATCGATGGCTCTGACTCCCTGCCCAGGAGGGGCGGGGCGCCCGGGGGCGCACAGGGAAGGCGGGCACCTGGGACGGCGTTGATGGAGCCCAGGAGCTGCTCCACGTCCGAGAAGTCCAGGGTCTGGTCCTCCAGGTCGGGCGGCTCGGAGATCTCCAGGTCTGTTTTCGTCTTCAGGAAATCCCCGAGTCTGTTGGCATAAACACACGCTGGCCAGGATACGGGGTGCGCTCCCCGGGCGGGCCACACGCTGGGCCTGCTAGCGGGAGGGCAGCGGCCTCTGCAGAGCTGCCGCTGCCGTCTGCCCCCGGCTGGGGAGAGGACAGGGTGGCCTCGTGGGGGGTCATCAGGCTTGGTGTGCGCTTTGAGGGGAGGACAAAGACTGAGGGTGTGGGGTTCGTGCTCCGACTCCAGATCCACCCCCGGGAAGACCCCTCAAGCTCCGCCCGGCCAGCCTGGCCCGAGACCCCTGGCCCTGGGCGGGGGTGGGACGTGTGCCCTCCTGTCCTGGCGGAGGGCTCGCAACTTGCTGACTCTGCTGCGGGGCCCCGGCGCCCTCCATCTAGGCCAGGTCTGTCTTTTGCCAAAACCCCGCCGAGCGACATGGATGCAGCTCCGGCATCTCCGCAGAGGCCCATAATGAAACCCCCACGGGGCTCTGCACGCGGGGACGGAGGGCAAGGCCTCTGCTGGCTGGACCGGGCGCGGCAGCAGCACCGCGCTCCTGTCTGAGCGCAAGGCGGGGTGGCGGGGGGCACGCTTTGGGCCTGGGGTCCTCCTGGTGAAGCGAGGCTGGGGGCTAGGGCGGGGGCCCCCAGGGCGCCCTGGAGTCCGGCCGACGCGGCCCGGCGTCCTGGCCAGCACGCTGTCGCCGGTGCTGGGACACGGAGCAGGCTCAGGGCGGGGTCGGGGGGCACGACCCTCGCGGAGCTGAGCACGCCGGGACGTCAGAGGAGAGGCACGGCACGGCACGCGCAGGACGCCAGCGTTACCTGTCAGCCATCGCCACCGCATCCTGCGGGGAAGGAGACGCGACTTCAATTCTGGAAACTAACCTCTTTTTCAAACTACATAATTACATAAACATCAAAACCCTTGGGAATTAGGGAAGAGAAGCAGCAGCGGTGCCCACACTGCCCGGGGGTGCCTGTTCCCAGCCGCGAGCCAGGGCCTGCCCGTGGGAGGGTCAGCTGTGGGCGCTGCTCGGCCACCCCTGGCAGAGAGCCGGGCAGGGCGTGAGCCTCCCCGCTGCGCCCCTTCGGTGGAGTCAGGCAGGTGCTGGGGGGAGGCGCCACGCCCGGCGGGGAGGGACGGCGGCGTCGCTGACCTGGATGAAGTCCTCCTTCTCCTCGTGGCACATGTCCTCGATGGTCTCCATCAGCTCCTTGCACGTCTCCAGGCTCTCCCCGCAGCTCACCAGCTGCCCGTACAAGGCCCCCAGCTTCTCTCTCTTCTTCTCCCCTAGTGCGTGCACTTTTTCTTCGTATTTCTGGGCCAGGGTTTCCAAGATCTCGTTGTAATGCGACTCGAAGTTCTGTTCCTGTCTTCCAAAATTCTCCTGCGAGACGGCAGGCGGCGGCCCGTCGGGGCGTGGGCGGGACCCGGCTCTGCCCCCGCTGTCCGTCCCTCGGAGTTGTCTGACCAGCCCTCGCCAGGACACAGGGCTGGGCATGGGGCCGGCGGGCCAGGAGACCCATCTGGGCACCACAACCTTGGCAAACCGCCCTTGTGCCCCCCCCCGACCACCTGGGCTGAGGTCGGATGCAGTCAGCCTGGGAACCTTGGCCTCACCGGGAGCTGCATGGGGACCCGTCTCCTGCCCTGCTGTGGGGTCACAGGGCCTCACACCCACTGAGGGGAAGGTGGGGAGGGGTTGTGCTGCCCAGTGGACGAGAACAGGGGGCGGGGCATGTGGCCTCCGGGTCCCTGGCAGGCAGGTCAGGGGTGCTGACTGACATTGCCCCGACAGCGCGGGTTCCTAAGGCGCCTGCCCCAGCCGCCCTGCGGGAGGCGCACACAGCAGACCGGCCGGGGCCCAGGCGCTCACCTCCACGGTGATGAAGACCTCTTCCAGGTGGCTCGCGAAGTTCTCCATCTCGATAATCTGCTTTTCCAGTTTGCACATGTTTTTGTGGATCTCATCCTAGTAAACGGGATGGCAAGGGGGCGTTAATGCGACTCCCTCTCTCTCTGTGGGAGGCATTTGGAGGGACCCCTCTGGTCTGCGTGCCAAGGTGCAAACGCAGCCTCAAGGGCGCGGAGCCCTCGACTCCCTGCACCCCGGCAGGGATGCTCCGGAGCCTGCTTTGCTCACCTTGGCGCTTTCCAGCGCCTCGCTGAGGGGGGCGACCTCGTGCTCCCGGTGCTCGTCAAAGCCCCCCTCCAGGGCGCACAGGGGGGCCCTGCAGGTGACGCAGAAGGCCCGGGCGGCCTCCTCCTCCCCCTCCTCCTCGGGGATGACGTAGCACTCGTACTCCTCGCTGGCGCGGCCATGGGAGAACCGGTAGGCGTCCCGCCAGTCCTGGCGCTGGCCCGCGCCGCCCCAGCCGACCAAGCCCGGGTCCTCGGGCCCCGCGGCCTCCCCGCCAGGCCTCCAGCCCCGCTGCTCCCTGGCCGGCTCGCGCCTCTTCATGGAGTAAGGAGCATATTGTGAAACCTCTATTCTCGGCCTGGTCTCGTCCACAGCCTCGTCCCCTAGCTCCTGGTCATCCTCGAGGCTGTAGAGACGGACCAGCTCCTCCACGTCCTCTTCCTGGTCTCCCTGGGCCGTGCGGGCCCCGTGTCTCTCCACCAGGGGGTTTTCTTCTGGGAAGATGGGCAGTCTGTCCTCAGAGTCATACAGATCCAGGGGGTAGTAAGGGAAGTCTCGGGGTGCGGGGGGTTCCCCGGCTCCCTCCTCCATGGTGCCGGGGCAGCACGTCTGCCCTCGGAGCTTCCTGGACAGTTAAGAGTGGACAGCCTGGGCCCTAGAACACAGACAGAGGAAAATGCTGTTTCTAGATCAGTGCAGTTGATGGTCATTATTGGCTCGACTCATTCATGTCATTTAAAAATCATCTGGGGGCCGACTTGGTGGTGCAGGGGTTAAGCGCCAGCGCTATGAAGCCGTGGGCAACCACCACAGCACAAGTTTGATCCCCGGCCAGGGAGTACCCGCAGGGCGCAGCAGACCTCCCCTGACTCCCCGCTGCTCCCCTCAGCAGTGGATTTCAGTGGATCCACCTGTTCTGCTCCCCAGTCTGTCTCTGGTGAGTCCTCTCACCCCCCACACCTCTGGCCTGTACCCCCAGCTCTTGTAATGCATAAATAAATAAATCTTTAAAAAAATAAAAATAAAAATCATCTGGGAACTTTAAACTCTGCAGAAAGGGTTCCTTTCTAGAGGCGGATGGCTTTCCTTAGCTTAAAAAAGAGGAGAAAATAAAGAAGACGTGTCAGTAGGTCTGACAAACAGGAGATCCCGCCTCAGGTTCCCCATCTGCAGGCATATTGGGAGGTTCTTTTTGGGTCTGAGAACACTCAAAATTTTTCCATATGAAGTAATGGTTATAGCGTTCTCAGACCCAAAACATAACTCACCAAATCCTACCAATGGGCATGTTCTACTTTCAGATAGTGGGAAACCTGCACATTTGAAAAAAAAAAAAAAAAAAAGCCAAAAACTCAAAAAGCAAAATAACAGACAGTGCCTCAAGCAATTATTAGTAAACAAAGTGTATCAAAGAGCTGGGAAAAAATTTAAGATCCCAGGACCTCCCTGGTGGTGCAGGGGGTTAAGCACCGCACTATGAAGCGGTCTGACCTCTGCAGCACAAGTTTGATCCCCGGCCGACTAGGGAGCTACCCACATGGCGCAGCAGACCTCTCCTGTCTCCCCACTGCTCCCCTCAGCAGTGGATTTCGTCAGTCTGCCTGTTCTGCTCCCCACTCTGTCTCTGGTGACTCCCCTCCCCCCACACCTCTGGCCTGTACCCCAACTCTTGTATGCATAAATAAATACATCTTTTAAAAAAAATTAAGATCCCAGTCCACGAAAGAATTACTGTTGCATCTCTTATAACCTGCACAAAACACTTGGAAAGAGAACAAATGAACGAAACAGAACTTTGCCTTGCCAGTGAGCAAATATTTAAACATAACACGGATAGTCGGGTACCCAGAGCTGCCTCACCTGCTGCCCCGGGAAAAACCCCCCACCTCTCCGGAGCCCAATGCAGCAAGTGGGTCAGAAGCTTAAAAAAAGTGAACATGCTTTAACTTAGCAACCCTCTTCCAGGACCCTGGAGAAAGTTTCAATTCAGGGGTCAATATTTCTACATAAAATTTTTCCACCAGAAAAAAAAATTTAGAATAGCAAAAAAATTTGAAGAGGTCTAATTATTGCAAGAACGGTCAAGTAAAATGCGTCCGTGCACCTTAGAAAACAATGCCGCCTGTGAATAGGTTGGGGAAAGATGGTGTGACGTGAAGTAAAGAAAGAGAACCCCCACTGTCAAGGGCTGACGCCCCGGGCTGAGGAAGCGTGAAATCCAGAAGGAGGCTCCACGCAGCAGCAGAGGCTCGAGCGTGGTGGCTGCTCCTGGCTGAGCCTCTGCACCAGCCGGATGCTGGGCCACGTCCTCACTGCCCTGCCCACGCTGTTCCGCGTTTTGAGCCTGGTGGGCGCCTGGGGTCCACTCGTGTGCTGTGGTGTTACGCTGCCGTGAACACGCGCAGCTTGTGTGTGGCGTGTTTCATTTCTCCTTGGTGTGCTCCAAGGAACGGAACTGTTTAACCCTCTGCAGGACCGCCCAGCTTTCTCCCGGTGGCGGGCGCCTGGCGCTCCTGGCAGCAGTGCGTGAGGGCCTGGGTCCTCCGGGTCTTGTTGACACTGGCTGTTGTCCATCCTTTTTTCTTTTTTTTAAAGATCTATTTATTTATGCATACAAGACCTGGGGTACAGGCGGGTGAGAGGATTCACCACAGACAGTGGGGAGCAGAACAGGCAAACCGAGATCCACTGCTGAGGAGAGCAGAGGGGAGACAGGACGGGTCTGCTGCGCCCTGTGGGTCAGCTCCCTGGCTGGGGATCGAACTTGAATTTGTGGTACAGTAGTTGTGGAGAGCTTCATAGTGCTGACGCTTAACCCCTTGTGCCACCAGGGAGGTCCCCCATCCGTCTTTTTGATGAGCGCCACCCCAGCAGGTGTGGCTCTGATCTGCTCTGCCCTCCCTAAAGTGGGGCCACTGAGGGGTCTTCTGGGGCTGCTGTGGGGAGCTGTCCCTTGAAAGCAGTGGAAGAAGGAAGCCATTCCCAAAGCAGCATGGCCCCAAGTCCAGCACACACACGGGCAGTGAGGTCCCCGGGGCTGGGCAGACAGGGGAGCCCTAGCGATGGGGGCCCCTGGTGCCTCTAACTCAGTTTCCGAGTGTGAGCAGGCGGGCGAGTTCCTGGGTGGATAAAGCGCGCGCCGGCCATTCACGTAGTCAAGGAGGACCTGGGTCTGTCCCGGGGGGCGGCCAGGCCCCGGCTGGGACCCAACCCGGTTCCCACTGGCCCCGCCCACCTACAGCGCAGCAGCGCCTGCTAAAAATAACACATTTCCGAAGCTGCCCAAAGGGAGAGCGCCGTATCACGATTCATCACCAAGAGAGCCTCTTCCAGGCGGAAGCTGGAATGTGAAACCACTTGAACGCAAGCAAGACTGGAGCATGGCCAGGGAGCACAGGGGAGACCAGACCCCCCAGTGTTGGCACTGGGCACAGACACAAGCTGGTGCATGGCCCAGCACCGAGGGAGCAATTCTGGGACTGCCCCTGGGGACACCCACCCCCCCAAACCCAGACTCTGCCAGGTTTTTTTTTTTTTTTTTCTATACAAGCACTGGGGTATAGTCAGAGGCGCGGGAGGGTGAGAGAATTCACCAGAAACAGAGCAGGAACACTACGGGCAGACGGACCAAGGACACTGCTGAGGGGAGCAGCAGGCGGCAGGAGAGGTCTGCGCGCCGTGTGGGGATCTCCCTGCCCGGCCGGGAATCGAACCCGCACTGCAGAGGCTGCGGACAGCTCCAAGCGCTGCGCTCAACCCGCTGCACCACTGGGGAGGAGGCCCTCTGCCAGGTTCTTAATTGAAACAGAATTTGGGGGAAAAGGAATGTTAACAGCAAATTGTCATTTTATAACTGATGAAACAGGCTTAAAAAACGTGATAAAACACAGTCTACCTAGAACAGACATTCTCCGGCTCTCCTGGGCCATGGGGGAGGCTGTTTTCAGTATTTGAGTCAAAGCAGGGAGTGAGGAGGCGGGGCCCGCACGCCAGGTGAGAAGGGTCACCTGGTCACCCCCCAACAGTTCAGCCGGGGGATGGCGGCACTCCGGCTCCAAACCGGCCTGAAACGACCCTAAAGACTCCGCAGGGCCGGCCAGCCCCGCTGCCTTGCGGCTGTCACACCCGGGCCGGCACCCAAGCGCCCGGCCACGTCGAGCCCTGGCGGCGAAGGCGCCCACCATTCCCCCGGCTCACTGTCTACACATCCCCACCGACGGGCTCTCCCGCCCCGGCCACTCCTGGGTCCCGGCTTCTGAGCGCTCGGGCCGCACCGCCGGAGCACGGCCGCCCGCACTTGCCTGCCGGCCTCGAGTCCAGCAAGTCCTCCCGCGACGGCGAGGTCCTGGCTTGCGGGGACCCGCAGGGCCCGGCCGCTCTCCCTCCCGGTGACCTCTGTGCGCCCCGCTCCGGCCTCCTGTCCGCTTCCGCAGGGGCAGCGCAGCCCGCGGTAACAGGAGCCGCTTCTGCAAATAGCAGCCGCCCGTGAGGGGCAGCCCAAATATAGCGCTGCCGCCAGCGCCGGCCTCCGAGTCCCAAGAGGTGACCGGCTGGCCCCTGACAGGCTCCCCTTCGCTGTGGCGCCGCCCAGGGGCTGGGGTGCCGGTCCAGTGGGGCTGGGGCCGTCCCTGCCAGGCCGGGGCGCTGCTGCAGGCCACCAGCTGGGGGGCTCGGAGCCCCCCGGGGCGGGTCCTTTCCCAAGTGTTTGGAGAACGTGACTTGATCACACGGAGCTTAAGTTTTTCCTCCTGCCATCCCATCTTTCGGGGAGCGGACCACTCCTGACTGGAAAAACGTGCAGGGGACCCTCCTCTTAGGGTCACAGGGTCATGGGCCTGGTCTCCAGGCCCCTGGAAAGTACCGGTTGGTGCAGCCATGAAGAGGCCGGGCACATGCAACCTCCAGGTCTTTGTCCCTCCCCAGCCTCCAGCCGGCCCCCAGCGCCCCTCACCCCAGCTGGATGTTGGCCTGGGGTGGGGGACGAGGTTCCCCTTCCTCCCCACCTCCTCCCTGAGCAGCTGGCAGGAGGCGCTAAGGGGATAAGGCAGGTCTAGCTGCTGGAGGGGGGGGATGAGGGGGAGTTTGGGGGGCAGGGAGGGGCGCCCAGCATGCTCTCCCCGCTCTCCTTGCTTACCCCCACCCTGCCCTGCCACCTCTCTTGCCAGGACCAGGCTGAGAGCCCCTCTGTTCCAGGGGGTCCCTGGCACTTTCCCCCAAGGCCCTGCTGAATCACCTCCAAGGGTCCCCAAATAAGGTCTCTACTTCATGCAGTGGCCTCGGGGCTCTGTCTTCCTGCAGGCTCACATCTTGGGGGGCAGTGCTGGGGTGCAGGTGGTCTCCAAGCAGCCACCGTCCACCCCCACACCAAAGCAGCCCACCCTCTCCTTAGGCCCCTCTGTCCCCCTGCGGGAAACACAGCAAGCAGTCTGGGCCCCGTGGAAGAGCCGCCCACTGGGCTTGGGGGGAGGGTGCGCTTCCCCCAAAGCAACAACAGCTGTCTCCAGAGAAATTGCCCCCCCTTCACCCCCAAGAATCCTCTTTTCTCCACTCGGACCCCTTTTTCCTCCAGTCAGAGCACGAAGAGGGTCTGAACATCCCCCTTAGAAGCCTGCGCAGCAACTGGCTCTCTGTTTTACAGCGATGGCTTTTGGGGGTCTCGGCCAGAATTTTTTAGAGACTTATTCGTTTATGCACACAAGAGCTGGGGTGCAGGCCAGGGGTGTGGGGGTGAGAGGATCCACCAGAGACAGAGCGGGGAGCAGAGCAGGCAGATCCACTGAAACCCGCTGCTGAGGGGAGCCGCGGGGAGACAGGAGGGGTCTGCTGCGCCCTGTGGGCAGCTCCCCGGCCGGGGATCGAACTCAGGCCGCAGTGGTGGCCCACAGCTTCATGGTGCTGCCTTAACCCCTGAGCACCAGGGAGGCCTCCCCAGAACTTTTTAAAGATACCACCACTGCAAGGCGGCCACAGCATGCCAACACTGACGGTGAAATAAAGTACCCCAGGAACACACACTGGGGGGGAACCCCGCAGAAGAGCAGGTCGGAGGCGCGGCGCTGTGTGGTCGCTGGCGGGGAACCGGGAGGAGCACGGGGTGGGGGGGGCAGCTCCCGCGCCCCTCGCAAGGGCCGAGCCAGCGCGGCAGGACGTGCCCGGGGTGCGCTGTATTCACACACACACACACACACACACACACGCGCGCGCACACGCGCGCACAGTGAGAGCAGTGTGCTCTGGCGTTGTGTCCCTTTTCTCTGCACCTCCGTGGCGGGGTCTGTCCTCGCACCCGGTCACCTGCGGTGAGCTCCGCGGGTGCCGCGCGCTGCAAATAGTGTCTTCAGTTTAGAAAGAAGCAAGAACCACCGCGACCCTGAGCGCTCACCGCGCGCCCTGAGCCCGGGGCACCCCCGCGCCTGCCCGGCCCGGCCCGGCCCGCACGGGAGGCCCCGCAGGCGGGACGGAGCGCCGCGTGACGCGCAGGAAAGGCCGGGACGCGCGGGGCCGGCGGGAGGGTCTCGGGGCGCAGGACCCTGCGCGCGCCCCTGACCCCCGCCCGGGCCCGGGGAGCGGCCCTCGGGGAGAGGCGGGGCCCGAACCTCCCGCCCGGCTCCGGGCTCCGGGCTCCGGGCCGAAGCCCGCCGCGCGCCTGTGCCCGGGAGCCCGGCCCGGTGTCCCCGCCGCCCGCCGCCGGCAGGTGCGCGCACGCGGGCGGAACCGGGGCGCCCGGTCCCGGGAGCAGACCCCGCGCCAGCCCCCCTATTCCCGCGACGGGCCCCGCGGAGCCGGGGTGTCGTCCAGCGGGGCGTCCGCGACTCGGACAGCGAGGAGGAAACGCGGAGGTTTTTAGCCTCCGGCGAGTCCGCGGTGCCCCCCCACGCCCCTTCCCCCGCCCCCCCCCGCACCCCGCTTCCAGCGCGGACCCCGCGCGCCCCCGCCGCGAGCCCCGCCGCCCGCGCGTGCCCGGGGGCCCGCGGACAGCGGGCGGCGGGCACACCCGCGCGGCCGAGGGCGTCGGGACCGGGCGGCGGCGCCCCCCGGGCCCCCCGGGCCTCGGGCCCAGACCCCGCGCGGCGGCCGAGGGCGGCGCGGGGCGCGGGCGGCGGGGCGCGGGGCGGCGCGGGGCGCGGGGCGCGGGCGGCGGGTCACGGGGCGGGCGGCGGGTCACGGGGCGGCGCGCCCTCCGGGCCGGGCCAATCGCGGGCGCCGCCGGGCCGGGCCGGGCCGGGCCGGGCCGCCCACCGGGAGCGCGGGCGCGGCCATGGCGGACGAGCCGCCCGACAGCCTGGACGGCTGGGTGCCGCTGCGCGAGGGCCTGTTCGCCGCGCCCGGGCGCCAGCGGCTGCGCTTCCTCGTGGCCTGGAACCCCGCGGAGGCCCGGTTCGCCGTCACCTGCCACGACCGCGCGGGGGCCGCGGGGGGCGCGCCCAGCTGGGCCGGGCTGCTCTCGGCCGCCGGGCTCCGCGGCGCGCACCGCCTGCTGGCCGCGCTGTGGCCGCCGCTCGAGCGCTGCCTCCCGCGGCTGCCGCCCGAGCTGGACGCGCCGGGCGCGGGCTGGGCGCGCGGGCTGTGGGCGCTGGTGCGGCCGGCGCGCGCGGGCCCGGGCGAGGCGGCGCTGCGGGAGCTGTGCGCGCGCCTGGAGCGCTACCTGGGCCGGGCGGCCGAGGGCTGCGGCGGCGCGGCCGTGCGCGACGCGCTCTTCCCGGGCCTGGGCGCCGAGGGCGCCGCCGCCGACTGCGAGAGCCCGCGCGAGTTCCGGGGGCGCGCCCTGCGCGCGCGCATGGCCGAGGCGGACGCGCGCCTGAGCCAGGTACGCGCCCCGGCGCCCCGGGCGGGAGGGAGCCGGTGCCGGGCGCCTCCGCCCGCGGGGAGTTCCTGGGGCGCCCCTGGGGCGCGCGGCTGTGGGGCGGGGGCGCGCGCACAGGCCCCGGCGCGCGCCCACCTAGGCGGGTGGGGGTCACCGGGGCGCACGGGGCGCCGTCGCCTGCCCGGCGTGGCTGGGAACTCCCTGCGGGAGGCCTCGCCAGCCTAGAGCCAGGACACTGTCGCGAGGGTGCCCTGAGAACTCGTGGAGTGTGGGGACACGAGGCGCGCCTGGGATCGCCCACCCCGGCTTCGCCTCGGGGGCTCGGGCCTCTGTGCCCTCTGCCCTCAGCCCTGCGCGGAAGCCAGGCCTGACTGTCACCTCCCCCGGAGCAGCTGGCCAGTCCGGCCATGTGGCTGCAGACACTGGCCAGCAGCTGCTGTTTCCGGAAAGCCAGGAGATACCGAAAGCGAAACTGAGTGGCTGGGAGCACCTCAGCAGGGAGGGAGCTTTACCCAGCCCAACTGGCAAAGCCTCGAGAGCAGTTTTCATCTTAGAAGAGGGCATCTGAGAGACGGAATAATTCACTATTTGGCAAAGTTACAGAATTTAAAGGGGGAGGGTGCAAGGAGAGTTGAGGAAAGGGTTTAGGAGAAACTGGCTCACAATGGGCCGAGTCAAGGCACTTGCCCCCTCGAACTTTTAAAAAAGGAGCGCACACACCTCTACGCTCAGGAAAGTGACGAGCGACAAGATGCCCACCGTGCTCTTCCCTCCAGCCCCCCAGGTCCACCGTGAGCATTCCACGGCTGCTCCTGGCCCTCTGCTCTGAGCGCTCGTGTGTCTGCAAGAACTCTGAGCCCCCCCTCCCTTGCTATTATAAAAGCCCCTGTGCTGTGAAAGTCTTCAGAAGCACGGTGCTGTACGAGCGCTGTAATATCCTTCCATGCATATGCCTTGATTTATTTGACCATTTTTGCCTGATTGGGCATTTTGGTTGGAGGACAAGAGTGTATTCATATCTCATCAGGGTTGGAAGCGGATGTGTTACAATTGCGGGCATGGTTTTTGTTTGCTGGTGTGATCCCGTTCGAGCTTGTGTGCCTTTTTTTTTTTTAGAGGCATGTTTTATTTATTTATTTATTTGTTTTGTTTGTTTGTTCTCTTTATACAAGCACTGGGTACAGTCAGAAGCGCGGGAGGGTGAGAGGATCCCCCAGAGCCAGAGCGGGGAGCAGAGCAGGCAGAAGGACCGAAGGACACTGCTGAGGGGAGCAGCGGGCGGCAGGAGGGGTCTGCGCCCCATGCGGGACCCTCCTCCGGTGGCCGGGGAGCAGCCGGGGATCAAACTGGCGCCACAGAGGCCGCGGGCAGCTTCGCAGCCCAGCGCTCAACCGCTGCGCCACCGGGGAGGCCCAAGCTTGTGTGCCTTTTGCCTTCTAGATTCTCCAGGGCCATGAAAAGGCCTGCACCATGGTGGTGCTGAGTGACCTCTACCGGGAGGAAGACCAGGCTTACCAGGACCTGGTCACCATGGCGACCACCTTCTTCCAGTATCTGCTGCAGCCCCTGAGGGACAAGCGAGAAGTTGCCACTTCCCATAAGCGTGACATCTTGGTATGTTTCCTTTGTGTTTTTATTTTCTCTGACTTAGTGGTTGTCACGTGGTGCTTCTTTGGTCACATTTAAGATTCGATCCGGTCCGCCCTATGTTGAGGTGAGAGTGTAGACAGGTTGAGTTTATTTTAAAAAGTTGATGAGGATGAAGACATTTACCTTGGTCGTCTTAACACGTTACGATTTCTGCTGGTTTCCAAGGGCCACACGCTGGCCCTGCCAGTGGCTTGTCTCGATGCTACGGGCTTCTGCTGTCTTCAGTCTCTGCAGACACACGTGGATTTCTCAGAAATAGGATGAAATTTTATTTGATTTATATTTTTAAAGATTTATTTATACAAGCACTGGGGTACAGGCCAGAGGTATGGGAGGGTGAGGATTCACCAGAGACAGAGCGGGGAGCAGAACAGGCAGACAGACCGAAGACACTGCTGAAGGGAGCAGCAGGTGCTACAGGAGGGGTCTGCCGCGCCGTGTGGGGATCTCCCTGGCCGGCCGGGAATCGAACCCGCACTGCAGAGGCTGCGGACAGCTTCACAGTGCTGCGCTCAACCCGCTGCGCCACCGGGGAGGCCCGAAATGGGATGAATTTTTAAATGGCCGGTTGTGACTCAGTAGCTCAGGCTCGAGTGGCGCTGTCATCACTCTTGATTGGGTCACTGGCCCAGGGTGAGGACAGGCCTGTCACCAGGTTACCAGCGGATGTGGGCCAAGGCTTGTCGCGCCCCCGGGCTCTGCCACTGAGTCAGAGACAACAAAGATCTCTTGCTCTCTGCCACCTACCTGGGCCACCCTTCCACGCTCGCCCCGGTGGTGCTGGCCGTGGGGTGAGCGCACCTGTGGGTGAGCCCCGGCTCACTAGCCTGGCAAGGAGCCGCTCTGCTCTTTGGCTTGAAAGTCAGCTGTTCGCAGTGTCCTTCCTGCTGTGTACGTTTTTTCTTTCTTTCAACACTAGCTTCACTGAGATGCAATCCAGCCCTACAAATCACCTCAAACGACCAGCTCAGTGGTTGTTAATCTACACAGTGTTGTGCAACCCTCATCACTCCCTAACCCCAGAATACTTTCATCACCCCTAAAGACACCCCGGGAGCCTGCTTCCAGGTCAGAACCTCATCTGGTTCTCCTCCTTCGCCCTCCCTGCCCGTCAGCGCGGACGCCCGGCAGCCTCCTCTGCCTCCTTGTTGTCCACGTTGTGGCCAGCTCTTGTTATTGTCTTTTTTATTCCAGCCGTCCTCGTGGGTGTGAAGTGGGGTCTCGTGGTGGTCCTCACTTCACGCCGCTGCCTGTGTGCGCGTCTTACATTGCTGGCTTTGCAGGGGGCTCGGACCCTGGGCAACAGAGGCTGGCCTGACCAGGGTGCACAGGCTCTGTCTCGGCTGGGGGATTACTTTCCCCTTCGGAAGAGTCACAGTGATGAGAGCCTCCTGCCATGTCCGGACAAGGAACCGTGGTGACAGCCACCCTTGGGTGCTGGTGCAGCCCCACAGAGAGCTCAATGCTTGCTGCCGCCCAAGTGTGTCTCACCAGTCCGCCTCTGTCCAGAAGCTCACGCTGGGCCCCGGCGACGTGGGGTTTTCCTCCTGCTGATGGGGAGCGGCTGGAGTGAAAGTTAATGACGAACAATCAAAGTGGGGGAATTAGGGGAGTTTCCTCTCCGTGTCTGACGCGCCACGCACTGTCTCCCTAGAAGTCCTTGCAGGAGGAGGCCCTGGGCCCTCGGCGGGTGGCTGTCCTGCAGAGGGAAGCGCAGGAGTGGACCCGCCAGGCTGAAGAAGCTGTCGCCGCCATTCAGGACATCACAGTGGACTATTTCAAAGAAACAGTGAGAGCGTTAGCAGGTAACACCTTGAAATGCGATACTGAGAGATGTGTACACTCCCTGCCTCTTCAGCCCTGGGCACTGCCATCCCAGGCGGGGAGGCAGGCAGAGGCAAGGTGCCATCGGTGGCGTGGGAGGGCTCTGAACAGCTGGCTTCAGGGCTGGGCGGCGTGAGGCTCTTACAGGCATGTGGGAAGGTGGTGTGAGGGAGGCCGGCAGGTGCCCCCGCCTGGCTTCTCTGGCCGGGCGAGGGGCTCAAGTTGCTGTAAATACTAGTCCCAGCAGGCAATGACTCGTCTGGGTAGGGTGGCTGAGCCGCTGCGTGCGTCCTGGAACAGCAGCCCCAGCTAGTCAGCATTGTCATCTACCGGCGGGAATTCCATGAGATAAACAAGACCTAAGACAGTGCGAGGTGCGTGGTGCCCTCTGGCCCAGCCCGGCCTCCTCATTGCCCTGCCGGCCTGGCCAGGCGCAGGCACCACAGTGTAGCAGCAGCTGCCTCTAACGGCTGGATCCATGGTCGATTCTTTTTTTCCCCCCAAGATTTACTTATTTATGCACACACGAGCTGGGGTGCAGGCCAGAGGTGTGGGTGATGAGCAGATTCACCCAAGACAGAGTGGGGAGCAAAACAGGCGGATCCACTGAAATCCACTGCTGAGGGGAGCAGCGGGGAGACAGGAGAGGTCTGCTGTGCCCTGTGGGTAGCTCCCTGCCTGGGGACTGAACTCGTGCTGCAGAGGCTGTGGAGAGCTTCACAGTGCTGAGACTTAACCCCTGTGCCACCAGGGAGATCCACATGGTTGATTCTTTTCTCTTGAAGAATGAGCTGTCTAGAATTTGATGCCATGTATTATTTTTGAGATAATGGAAAAGTTACAAAGGCTGTCCTGCTGGCTATACGGGAGGCGATTCACCAGTCTTTCTCTTTGCGATGACGTGTGACCTGTTTGTGGGGGCGGCTGTCACCCAACAGCAATGCAGAAGCAAATGCAGCAGGATGAGAAGAGGTTCGGCCAGGCCGCCTGGGCCACGGCCAAGCCCCGGCTGGAGCAGCTCAGCTGGATGCTGGCCCACGAGAGCCTGCAGCTCCTGCGAGCCAAGGAGCTGTGTCTCAGCCGCCGACGGGCCGAGCTTCAAGGAAAGGTGAGCTAAGAAGGGCCTTGCTTTCAACCTGTGCTGATACCACCTCCTTCTGCAGGCGCCGGCTCCTCACTGTACCAACACTTTTCCAGGAGATGAGAATTTGGGACACAGGTGGTTGGCGGCCATAAGTCCCCTTCGGTCGGGGTGTTTCTGGAGGGTGTATCGTGGGGTTCACGCGATAATGACAACATTGAGTGCAGGGGGGAAGGGGATGGGGCGCCGTGCTTTAGAGTGGGCCAAGGGATGTTTCCGGCACAGGGGGCTTCATCCTGCAGCCACCTGCCTGGTCTCCTGTGATGGAGGCCTGAGAGGCGGAGTTTGCTGTGGTACCTCAAACCCCATGGTTTCCTGTATTTCATGGTGACGTGGGTACTGGTGACAAATGTTGAACGATGCATCTTTGCTTCACTGAATGAAAGGGGAAGGTGTTTCTTCTCTAATCGCTTGCTTGTATTTGGTACTGAGCACGAAGTCGAAAGTAGCTCGAACACTCCCGAAGTTTGCTTTAAATATACTACTTATGTTAACATGCTCTTTTTTTTTTTCCATGAAAACAAGATGGAAGATCTTCCAGAGCAAGAAAAAAGTATAGATGTGGTAGATGAATTAGAAATACAGTGCTATGAAGTTCAATTAGAACTCTATGAGGTTAAGTTCGAGATGTTAAGATATGAAGAAATACTGCTTATTACACAGCTGGATTCCATTAAAAGACGTATAAAAGGTAAAATGTGTATTTTTTAAAAAGATTTATTTATGCATACAGGAACTGGGGTGTGAGCCAGAGCTGTGGGGGGTGAGAGGACTTACCAGAGACAGAGTGGGGAGCAGAACAGGCGGATCTACTGAAACACACTGCTGAGGGGAGCAGCAGGGAGTCAGGAGAGGTCTGCTGTGCCATGTGGGTAGCTCCCTGGCCGGGATCGAATGCAGGCGATAGCTTCATAGTGCTGACGCTTAACCCCTCCGCTGCCAGGGAGGCCCCTAAATACCATTCTTTAAAAACCAAAGCTAGATATCCTCTTTTTCATTCAATACACAACGGCTTTTCAATTTCAGTAAGTGATAAAAACATCAACAGTCTTAATGGCCACACAGTGATCTGTTATCTGGAGACGCCCAGCTCCCGGGCCTCGGCCGGCCTTGGGCAGGGCCAGACGCTGCCCCCAGAGGAGTATCTCAAGGTGGGATCCTGGGATAGGCCGGGCCGGGTCCACTCTTTGACACGCGGATGGAAACACAGCACAGTCATTTGGGACACATTTTCCCCTCGCCTGTCTTCTGACTTCTCAGTGTGGCCTCCAGACAGGCCGCACTCAGACGCCATCTCCACTCGCACGCTCTCCAGTGCCCGCCTTGTCCACAGGCCAAAGGCTTGTCCAGGCAAGTGAGGGACATGGTTTTGCACGTCCCACTCAGGGGCTTTGACATCTGTCTTTGGAACGTTCTCTTTCATCTGAAGGACATTATTATCTCTCATGAGTTGCTAACTGCTTCTCCCTGTTGTCTGCTTCTTGCCTGGCGGAATGCTCCATTTTATGAGCCTAGTCAGTGATTTTCCTGCTGTTGGTGTTGCCCTGCGGGTTCTCCTGGTCCCCAGATCACATCAGTGTCCGTGGAGCCGTCTGTCAGCGGCTCCGTGAGCTCCCTGACCAGGCGGGATCTGGTCGGACGAGGGCAGAAGCCAGCGCCCAGTGGCGGTCAGCGCTCCCGGCTGCTCCCTGCGTGCTGCCTGTCTCGCCCCCGGATTGATAATCTTGATTTCCATCTACGCGCTTCCCCTGGTTTGTGAGCCATGGTCCCGGCACCTACCGAGTTGCACCCCTTGGAGGTGACCCAAGTGCCCTGTCGGCGAGGGACCGTCCTCATCGCCCTGCTCCCCTCGAGCTGTCTATTTCCACTCCTTTCCTCTTCCAGATGAGCTTTACAGTCACGCTGACACGTTCAAAACTAAGCACTCATTAGAATTTTTACTGGGATCGTGCTTTAAGCTCGAGGCTACCTAGGGCTCAACTGTCCTTGACAGGGTGAGTCTTCCCCGCCCAGGGCTGGGCCCCCACCTGCCCCAGCTCTTCTGCCGAGGCGCCTCCAAATTCCGTGCTCTCTGCCAGGGGCCTGAGCCCTTCTCTTCAGGGTCAAAAACCGCAGCAGCTGCAGCACTTTCCATAGTTAGGGGACAACGATTTCAGGGCAGTGCCTCGGGAGGAGGCGGCCAGGTCGCGGCGCCCTCGGGTGGCACCTAGAGGCGTGGGGCGGGCCGGGCACCCCTCCTGCGGGGCTTCGGCTTGTTACATCAGCATGTTTTTTAAGCTTTCTTTAGAATGTATTTAAAAACATGTACTAAATGTCTGAAGGCACCTTACTGACATACTGCGTGGGCGTACACGCCGCCTTTCTGGAGGCCGGTCTGACGCTATCCGTGCCTTGAGCATCCATTTGCTAAGGAAGCAAAAAAAAATTCACACAAAAATTTGCATCCAGCAAGACGGCTACTAGCAGGACACAGGGTCAGGGCAACAGCAGAGGGTGCTTAAATCAGGATCAAGCAGAGGAGCCCGGGTCGCCATTAAAGTGGCTCCTGTGGCAGGGGAACGTCCTGCTGACGCTGCCCCGGGGCCACGCGTGCTCCTTACTGTCCCTCATGAAACATATTTTTTATGCTAAACATGTCTTCACTCGCTGTTCCGTTTCCAGAGCAGCTGGAGGAAGTCGTCTACCACGACCCGTGCGAGAGTCCGGAGGAGCTGCGGGCCTGCCAGGGGGCCCTGGGCCTGCCCGGGGAGAGCGCCGAGGTGGAGCGGCTCCGCAGGCGCTGCCGGCAGCTGGAGACCCGCAGGGGCCGCCTCTGCGCCCGGAGGGCCCAGCTCAGGAACAGAAAGGTGGGCCTGGCCGCTGCCCCTCCTGGGCGGCCACTTTTACAACAGACCAAGAGCTTCTGCCGCACGCGGTCACCCTCGACGACGACGGGGGGTGCAGAGACAACGACGGGGGTGCAGAGACAGGGTGACTGCGACAACGGGTGCAGACACCAGAGGGCGCGGACACCAGAGAGCGCAGACACCAGGGCGACAGCGACGGTGGGGCCGGGGGTGGGGGACTCAGATGCTGGGGTTACAGTGAAGATGCATTTTAAATATTTCCTTAAAAAGATTGCTGGCTGGGGGGCAGGGGACAGAGGGAGGGGAGCACAGAGGACGGTGGGTGCACCGTGGAGGAACGGTGATAGGGTGCCCTGATATTGCCTCAAAAGATAAATGAGTTGATAGAAACAGAGAAACCGATGGTTAGTGCCTGTCGTGGGCCAAAGGGCAAGGCTTTGGACCGATTTTCTCTGCAACTGCTAAATAAATAGGCGAGTAAGTAATGGGATTAGAGGAAACCTTCCTCCTTACTTGGGGGTCTCAGCACGTGCCAACCGCCTCTGGGCTTGAACTCACCCAGCTCACGTCCCTGCACACCCGGGGGCTTTTGGAGTCGCAATAGTTAGAAACTCCTACTAGTCATCCAGGGTAAAGTCTACAGCTTCATTATAAATTACTGAGTTTACAGTGTCAGCCAGATGAGCTGGGCTCATGTTCAGTCCCTAAACAAGTGGCCTTCCCCTGAGTGGTCAGACCCGCGATTCCGCAGAAAGGCAGTATACGGGGCCCCGCAAGCTGAAGGTAACTTTTAATGTAACTCCAGGGCCTTGTAGGTCGGAGGTGCTTGTGTAGGTAGGTCGGGAGATAGAATTATTTATCAGCCTGTGAGGGAATGTGTTTAAAATGACCCCGTGAACACAGCCTCAGGCCACACACCATTTACGAAGCGGGCGCTGCCTGTGCCTTCTCCTTCCTCTGCTGGAGGTTTTGTCTTCATTTCAATTCACCACATCCCAGGTGAGGCCCGTCCCTCAGGAACAAAGGCGCTGAGAGCAGCCCAGGGGCCACACCCACGCGCCCTGTTCTCACCCCTCACCTGGACACCAGAGTGTGGGCGCGCTCACCCCAGCTGGGACCTGTATCCCCGCAGGACCAGTGCAAGCAGAGCCACCAGCTCAGGCTGCAGCAGGCCTCGGAGCGAGCCCGGCGCATCCAGCAGCACCACGGCGCCCAAGCGGTGAGTGCCCGGGCGGTGAGCGCCCAGGCGGTGGGTGCTGGCAGGTGCTGCGGCCCGTGGGGGTGGGGGTCACCGAGTGAAGCTGAGGCTGCAGCCTCAGCCAGGTCGGGGCCCAGAGCGAGCAGGGGAAGGTGATGACCTCAGGTCCCAGCCTCTTTCTCCAGACTTATTTTGAGACACTCACAAGTGTTTGCTCGTTTAAATATAGAAAAGGGACAAAATAAAAGAAGAGGAACTCAAGAAACAGGAGTGGATACACCAGGAACGCCAGAAAACACTGCAGCGGCTGAGAGCATTTAAAGAGGTAGGTTCCAGAAATGACGGCCTCGCTGCCTCCCTGGAGACACCTGTGCTGGGAGGGGCATGTGGGTGGCTCTGGCGCTGTTTCAGCGGCATTTGGGCCCGACCCCCCACGCCCACCTGCCCGCCCGCTGGGGGGCAGCACTTCTGCGAAAAGTTTCTCACACAGTTTTGTTTTCCAGAAACATCCTGATCAGTCCACACCAGAGACTGGCCCAGATCCTGGGGCTGCAAACCTGCGGGGTGGGCTCGGCCACCAGCTGCCCTCACCCACGTGCCCGCCCCCTGTGCCCTCCAGGGAAGCAGGGAGTGAGGCAGGCTCCCCGGGTCAGGATTGTCCTACAGCCACCCCTGAGCAGACGCCGGGTCCTCCTGAGGGCCAGACACACTGCAGATCCAGCCAGGGCGTGTCCCCACCCCCACCCCCCCCCTCCTCCTCCACCACCACCACCACCCCCGCCTCTGCCCGGCTGGACTCCAGGAGGGGAGGATCAGCCGCTCCCACTGCTGTGCTACTCGCCGGCTGGGACGCCACCCCAATTCTCAGACACTGCTAAAGGCCCAGGTAACCGGCTGGGATCTGCCCCTCTGTGGGACTCGCCCCTGCCCCTGAGCTCTGGACCGTGGCTGGCATCTCCTGTTCTCTTGATGTCCAGACTTCCCTGCAGCCCTCCCGGGCCCAGGGCTGGGCTCTTGGTGCAGTCAGGTAGCTGCGTCCAGGCCTGCTAAGTGCAAACTCCTGGATGCAGCTCCCAGTCATCCCGGCTGGCAGAGCCCCCCAGTTCCCATCTCTTCGGGCTTCAGTCTGGGCTGCACGGAGCAGTGCTCGAAGCCGCCGCCCCAGGAGGGTGTGCGGGCCGCGGCCTGGGAGGCGTGGAGGATGCACACCGGGCGGCCAGGGCGGCTGCTGTGTAGATGTGGGTGGGCTCCACGCCACTGGCCCCGAGGCCTCTGGGCAGGAGGCCCTGACGGCTCTGCTGCTCCGTTTCAGGCTCCATGGACGAGGTCTTGGCCTCCTTAAGGCGAGACAGGGCCCCTCTCAAGAAAGTGGACACGCCCGCGCCCTGCACCTCGGTCAACCAGCACATTCTGGCCGCCATAAGGCAGGGGGTCAAACTTAGGAAAGTGGCCCCTGAGGGTGGCCGGAGCCCCGGCAGCAGTCCCCCCAGCGACCTGGAGCGCAGCATCCGGGCGGCCCTGCAGCGGATCCAGCGGGTGGCGGCCGACTCGGAGGAATCGGGGGACTCGGGGGAGGAGGCCGTGGAGCTGAGCCCCGGCGAGTGGGACCACTGAGCCCGGCCCCGGCCCTGGCACCCCCTGGCGGGCAGGAGGCCGTGCGGACAGAGGCCATTTCTGGAGAAGGTGCCAGAGGTCTGGCCAGTCCCGGGGGGAAGCAGGGCAGGGAGGCCTGGCCAGGCCCTGTCTGGGGAAGTTCCACACTCCGGCGAGCCGCGTGGGGCAGGGGCTGTAGCCGGCGCCGCGGGTCTGAGCCTGAACATCATCCTGGCAGGGGTCGGAGGAGCTTGCCTCCACCGAGGGACTGTTCTAAGCATCTGCCGTGACAGTTCATGTATCAAACACCACAGAGCCTCGTAGTAAAGGAGTATTTATCACGCACGCGTCACTCTGAGGAAACGGGTCTGGCTTCTGGGCTGACAAGATGTGTAGCCCCTCCTGCCCCGCGCCGTGTGTTTTAGCAGCATCTCAGCGAAACATGTTTAAGCAAAGCCCAGGGCAGGGAACACTGGCCCTCAGGACTGACATCTCAGCTGGAGCCGGCGTCCCCCTTTGCGACGGGCAGGCGGAGCGGTTTGGGCCAGTCTGCTCCTCCCTCCAGCACCCCTGCCCTCACAGCTGCGCCCCATCCTGGCTCCCAGAACAGGGACAAGCAGAGGAAAGTGTTTTGCACACCAGCCCTCCCTCCTGACTCTCAAGGCGCTGGCCGGGGGCCATCTTCCAGCGCGGCGGCCTGGCCTGCCCCTGGGTGGGAGCGTGGTCACTGCCGGCGAGCAGGGTGCTGGTGCCCGCTGGACTGCCCCGGCCACTCCCTCACAGATTTGGGGCCTGCCCTGGGGGTGCTGCCCCAATAACCGCTGGGTCCAGAACCCTGAGGCAGTTCAAGCAGCCGTGCCCAGGCCTCCTCCCCACACCACAGGCCTCACTGGCCACCACAGCGTCTCCCCAGAAGGAATCTGATCTTTTTAAAAATGCCAGAATCAAAGCCTCAGAGGGCTTCCCTGCACCCCCCCACCCCCCGCAGCCCCACTCATGCTTGGGAGCTGGCCTCATCCTTCTGCCAAAGCCTCTGGAGGGTGCCATGGCGACCACTGTCAGCAGATGCCCAGGCAGAGCGCCCCCTCCCCCCGCCCACACAGCAAAGGAGCCCTCGCTGGGCATCCCAGATGCCAACTTCAGTGGCCTGGCTCTGTCCCCAGCAGGTTTTGCCCCAGCAACACCGGCCACTTGCTGGCCGCCCAGTGAGCCCCCAGCCTCTGCCCCCAATGCGGCAACCCACCCACCAGCTCGGTCTCAAGCCCAAGGCATCCTGCTCCCTCAAGTCTCCCCCACCCCGCTTTCCCTTACCGAGCCCTGGTGTCCATGTGCTCGTCCTGGACCCCAGTCATGCTGCCCACTGGGGCCTCGTCTGATATTTCCGAAGCCAGCCAGCTGACCTGGCGCGGCCTTGGGGCGGCCCCAGAGGCCTGTCAGACTCGCTTCCATTCGCCGGCCCCCTCCCTCAGCGCCGGCCGAGCAGGCGTTAGCAGGAGCCGCGAGCTGCTGACAAGGGGCCTGGCTAGGCACTCACAGCGCAGGCCCTCAGCCCGCGGGGCTGCCAGAGGTGTGGGGCGACCTTGCCCCCGTAACCACCAGCAGCAGCTTGGGAGTGAAACGGAAACAGCGTGAGGGACCTCACAGCCACGGGGCCTCACTCAGGGCTGCGAGACGGCACAGGCTCGGGGTGCAGAGACAGTGGCTCCGTGACAGAGAGAGGGAGAAGGAGCTGTTCCTAAGGTCACACACGGCCGCTGTCGTGCCCCAGAGTGTCCAGTCGCCACCAGCCCAAACCACAGCTGCTCGTGGAAGTGGTGCTGCCCCTCTGAGGGGGGCCTGGAGCTGGTGGCGCCGCGGGAAGCGCGACCCAACTCACCTGTGGCTGGGGTGGTCCCGGGCCGCGTCACACGTGTCTCTCCTGCAGCTTCTGAGTTCAGACAAACCTTCTCAGATCCACCCTCCAGGCCCACAAAGCCTTCTCAAGCCGGGCCAGGCTGCCTGGAGCAGCTCCTGAAGCCCGCTGACCCCCTGCAGGGCCCCTTTCCACACCAGCTGTTTCCAAGGCCTGATCAGGCCCGTGTGCTGGGCCTGCTTGTGCCACGGGAACTCAGGCCTGGTTCATTCCAAAACCAGCTCAGGACACAGGACCAGATCCTGGGGGTGTCTGAGCTGCCCAGTGCTTTCTGTGTGGGAGCTGGTGGGGGAGCTGCCATTTCTGAACAGGGCTGCCAGGTTCAGTCTGGCCCATGTGTCCCCCAAACCACTGTGGCTTTTCCCTCTTTTTTCCTCTTTAAGCCCAAATCCGGCTGCCATGGCAAAGTCCAGGCTGATGCAGCTCAGCTGGGGGCTGCTGTTACATGTCCAGGTGGCGCCGACCGTCCTCCAGGCCTGCGGCTGGCACGATACTGGGGGCTGCCACGGAGGCGCGGGGGCTGCGTTCCTCCTGGCTGCCCTGGGGGAGAAGAGGTTCAATGATGAGATGAGATTTTAGAATAGAAAAAAAAAAAGGTTTAAATATCTTCTAGAAATGGGCCCGTAACAACTTCTTTGCCCTTCCCAGCCACAGTGCCCCTCGAGTCATTGCTCGCTTCCTTTAAATAAACTTTACTTTTTAGAATAAGGTTTGCTTCTCTGTTTACTTAGCTAAAAAATGTTTGTGAATTCCTTTTTAAAAGTACTTTTGCATATAAGAACTGGAGTGCAGGCCAGAGGAGCGGGTGTGTGTGTGTGTGTGTGTGTGTGTGTGTGTGTGTGTGTATTCCCCACAGACAGAGTGGGATGCAGAACAGGCAGACTGACTGAAATCCACTGCTGAGGGGAGCAGTGGGGAGACAGGAGAGGTCTGCTGCACCATGTGGGTAGCTTCCTGGCGAAGGATCAAACTCAGGCCGCAGTGGTGACAGCCTGAAACCCAGCCCCTAGGCCACCAGGGAGGCCCCTGAGATTCCTTTTCATGGTTTTGCCTCCGTGAGGTGAGAACCTGTGGTGGTTCAAAGGCTACACTGACCTGCATGCTGGCTCAGGATGTGAGTCACTCCTCCTGCGTATGTTTTGGAAAAGCTGGGTCCATTCCTGCCCAGCACCCGAGAACGTCCTGGGAAACCAGTTCCTGGTTGAACACGTGTCCAAGGTTGGCCCCGCCCCCCTCACGGCCAGGAACACGAGGACCCCTGAGCTGCCTTCGCTCAAGCCCCTCAGGAGAACAGCCTAGAGCCTGGCACAGCTGGGTCGGCCTCCTCGGGCAGCGGCTGACCAGCCCAAGGGGCAGGAGACTGTGAATCCCCATCACAGTGTGGCCGGAAATGCCGCTGAGGCAAGGGCCCACCCACACTTTAGTCAGGAAGTGACCCCAGGTCTCCGGCCAGCCCTCGGGGGCCAGGGCCTTCAAAACACCTGCGAGGGCGCACAGTGCTTAGGGAGACCCAGAGACGGATGCGGGCACAGATAAAACCCACAGGGTACCATCTCCCTCAACATGAAAAGACAGTTTGACAAGGCACGCTGAGGCACGCTGAGGCACGCTGAGGCACGTGAGGCACGTGAGGCACGTGAGGCACACGAGGCAGAAGCTGCCAGGGACACAGAGTACAGACAGGATGGGTCAGCGAGGCCAGCGAGCTCGCCTCAGCCTTTGATGGGGCAACTGAGGTTCACGATGATGTCAATGATGAGGTCAGACGCATGCACGTACACTGAATTTTCCTTCTTGAAAAAAGTACACCTTTGTTCCCAGTTTCCTGGGGACATTTATGAAAATTAACGATTTATTAAGAAAACACCAATCAACTCTAAAATGAAGAAATTGTACAGGCCAATATCCTCTTTGACAGTAATGCCATGAAAGTAGAAATTCCTAACAAACATTAAAAACACCAACAAATATTAAACTCTCTGGAAATTTGAAAGTATATTTTCAAATATCTCTTTAGTAGAAAGTAAAACCAAACCTGACATTATAAATTATTGATAACTTAGAATACCTACCTAGACACTTACGGGGCGTGGATAAAGGGCATTCAGAGGAGAAGGCATCGCCTTACAATGCCAGGACTACGGAACAGCAAGAAACAGTCCACGTGGCTTTCAAGCAGGTGAAAACATAACAAAAGGAGGAAATTAAAAGAATAAAAACACTCCCCGTCACAAAACAGAAAACGAACATCTAAGCCCCAGTGTTGAAAGACCAATAAAATAGTTCTGGAAAAACCAGCTGGGATACAGAGGGAAAGCTCGGCCACCCAAGACGGTGGGTGGGCCACAAAGGGGAGACCTCGACCCAGGCTAACAAACTTGCAAATCTTAACAGAATCATCATTTAGGGAAATTTAAATTTTCAAAATCTTACAGAAAAGGAAGAAAGTTTGAAAAGCCCAGGAAACAATGAAAACACTTCCAAGAATTATTGATACTGACTAGACTTGGACAGCTTTAGACATATTATAAAAAGTTCAAGAAGCAAAAAAATTCAAATAGTAATTGTTTCAGGGCACAGAAAACAGAGAGAAAGGGCTTCCCAAATATTTTCTCTCTCTCTTACAAAGCAGGTAACGCAAACCCAATACCAATACTTGACAAAGACAACAAAGTTTCCATCTTGATGTATTTCAAAATAACACAAGCAAAGCAATTCCAGAATATTTTCTTATTTTAAAGCTCTTGTTTTTATTACACAGGTAATATGCAAGTCTCATAGGAAATACAGGTACGAACCAACCCATCCTAAGTAACCACTGTCAACAATGGAGATGACTATTTCGAGAATAAAAAACTACAACTAAATCAGGTTGTCCTAGAAATGTGGAGAGGAGAGGGTATAATGATGTCGACAAATTGAATAAAGACGCCTCCTCTTAAGTCGTAATAGAGAAACAACATTTGATACCTGGGTAGAGGGGAAGAAAAAGCCATTTGATAAAATTCCATGTCCACTCGTGGAATTTATTTATTCAGTCCATTTATTCATTCAATAAATAAATCTAAGGATTAAGACTATCTTATGCTAAGAGTCAAATTGATACTTCTGGGGAAACACCAGAGGTATTCTTGCTAAGTGAAAAATATATATAAGAACCTACAATCCAACACAATCACGTATGCATTATTTTAACAATATCCTAAAAGTACCGGTCGTCACGATGAGATAAGAAAGTAAAATATGCTTCATTCAGTTCAGCCACTGAGGCAAGCCACGTGGTCAGAGCAAGCTTTTCTTGGTCGTAAAATGGAAGGTGTCTTGCTGAGGGTAGCTAGTGAAGAAAGTGGTCAACCAGAGACTTCCAGAAATAGTAAATTCTGTACCATCTGAAAGCAGTTCATTTGAAAAAGCACTCTTTAAGATTAAAGGGAAATGTTTTCTGATGAAACACAAACTTCATTTAGTATAGGCTCTCTATATAAACAATTACAAATTGAGTATTATTTGTCAGAGAGTGACATCAAATTGCTCGAGAAAGATGTAGCTCGTTTTAAATTAGGTTTTGAGTAGACAGATTAAAATTCTATTTCAAATATAAACTTTTTTAAATAAATACTTTTGTATCCAAAAGCAGTGAAATATGCTTATTAAAAATACAGAGGTAAAATGACCATCACTACCCAGAACTGTTTATCTACCTGAAAAAGGCAAAAAAGTTACAACAACAAAACTATTCGATCAGGCAGAATTCAGCGGCTGGGCAGTTACACAATCAATACCCACCCAGTTCCGTGGACGAGCGCACAAGCAAACCCTCTGTTAGCAGCGTGAAGGGGGAGGTAGATTGACGTGGACGGACGTGGGAAGGTGTCCGAGATCTATTGCCAAGTGAGAAACCCACGGAGCAGAAAGGCTGGCCAGACTGTCACAAGGATAAAACATATTGAGAGGAAAACACCAAGAAATGCGCATCAGCTGCTGACTCCTCTCGGGGCAGAGGGACCTTCATAATCGGGAGCTTTCGGTTTCCACACTCTGCTGTTTCATGCTTGCATTGACACAATTTTCATTTAATATTTTAAATCAGAAAAATCAATGGATTTAATTTCCACGGTAAAGAGTGCTGGTCACGTTAAGAATAAGTGGTTGGGAAATATAATGGAGGAGTTTACCATCCTAACCACGACTACCAAACTCCCTAGCTAGAAAAAATAATCCAACAGACAAAAAATAATACTTTAAAAATTGATGAAAGGTTAAATATGATAAAGATGTTAATTCTCTACAGCGACCTGCACGTTTTATGCCATCCAAGTTCCACTTCTTCCAAACCCGAAACCAAGTTTCTTTTGGAAATAATAACATATAAAATCTACTAGAAAAATTTTGAAAAAGTCTAATTAGTGGAGACACTTCCAGGACAACCGCAGATGTGGAAGGAGCTGGGCAGCTGGCTGGCCGCGTGTCCAGAGACCACTTCCCGCCACAGAGCGAGAGCCCCAGAAAGGGAGCTCAGGGCGACGTAGAAGATGACACTGGGCGGGTAAGGGATGTAACTGTCTAGAAAGAGGCAACAAAACACCAGGAAGCACCCTCTGGGGATGCACCACGCACGGGGGCCCGGGAGAGCCCAGCGGCGACCCGTCAGGCGGTGCCCTCCAGGAAGGGCGGCTCGGAAGCTTCCCCAGTCCGCACAGCCTTACTCGGCCACTTATGCAACTTTTATTTATTTTAAGGATATGGGGGAAAAAACCAGAAACCAATGAGATAGTTAAAAACCTTATTAGAAAATTTGAGAAGAAAAACACACAGTCTGGTAAGCATTTCTGTTAGGGAGGGTCACATTTTGATGCAAAAAGTGGATGTGGACACTCGCGCCCAGCCCCACGGCTGACCAGGGCCCGGTGGGAGGACAGGCTCACACTTTGCTGGTGGAAGTGTAATTTGGTATCATCTTTCTGGAAGGCAGTTTGAGGCGCTATACACACGTACATGGAAAGTGCCACAGAGGCACTTCCTTTTTTCAGTGGGGATAAGATGTCTCGTCGCCATAACAAAGTCCCCCTAAAATCCCAGAGGGGTGTTGCGTAAACTTACTCTTTGTCCCCGACACCTGTCCATGCAGGGGTGCTGGGGGTGTGAGGGGGACTGGCCGGCACGGTCACCAGGCCCAGCCGAGTGACCACATTTCATCAGCCAGAATCAGTCCCGGGTCCCTAAGTGACTCCGAGGGCCGGGGCCGGGCGGGCCCCTCCCTGGATGCTGGGGAAGGAGTGCGCGTAACCACGGGCCGCCACGCTTCGAGCCGGGACACGCAATTTTAGAAAGTCATCCCAATATCCTGAAGCGCCACAGGGATGTCAGAAGAAAGGATTTCACGTGGCCTTGGCTACTAAAGGAGGACACTGTTTCGTAGGAACACTTCTGTAAGTGTCCCGGGGCCAGAGAGATGAGAGGTGCGCTCACAACGAGGGTAACAGGGAAAAGCAAGACATGAACAGCAGGTTTAACACGACTGTGCGTCACGCAAAAGTAATCCAGAAACCAGCTGCTCGGAAAGCATCCGCAGACACCCCCAGGCCAGCGGCGCTCACGTCAGAGGGTGTAAAAGCGGGTAACATTTTTCTTCTCGCGCATCTGTAGTTTCTTTTTTTAAAAGAGTACGCGTTTCTGTACCAAAAGGCGTTTTCAAAGGGGGAAACCAGCACTCCCAGGGTCCGCTAACCCACGTTCCACTCGCCTGGATGCCTTGAGCTCCCTGCCAGGACCCGGGCACCCCACCCACACTGCCTTGTCACCTTCAGCCACGCGGGAGCTCTCAGCCTGCACCCACCCAGGCTCCCGGCTTCCATAGGTGCACGCCGAGTGGGCCGCTCCCCTCGGACACAGACACTCACAGACTCGCCTCACAGATGCCCCAGGACACGGACCCCCCCCAGGAGCGTCAGGCTTCTTCCACTTGGTCCTTTTACCTGAAAACCCCTCCTCCTTGTTTCTGTTCCCCTGATGCTTCTTCTCCCAACCCCTCGTGCCCCAAAGTCACACGAAACGCAGCACACACACGCACACCCTAGACACCCACGCCGCACGCGCGCACCCCACGCCCCCACACCCCTGTAACAACCAAACTCGCAGAAGAAACCACGAGCGCAGGCCCCACGCACAGCCCCTGCCCTCCAGCTGTCACCTTCCTGCCGCTACTGGGCCTGGCGGTGCTAACGAGGACCCAGAAAGCCCAGCCCCGGGCACAGGCAGAGCAGACGCGGAGGCAACAGGCCGTCCTGCATGGGAAGGTATTTCTTTGGGGAAAATCACGTGATCAGAAAACAGGCTCCTCTCAAACCACGCACGTCACTCACGGCTTATCTGGACGCTGCCTTGCGGGCACTTAAACCACTACAGCTCTCAGAACCAGGGGCAGTTCCAGGGGAGCGAGAATCGGGATTTTGAGGGTAGGTGGCACAAAACACAGGCTCCCCGCAAACCCCGGCCGAGTCCCATCCTGGCCACCCCCCACAGGCGCACCCGGGAGGCCCCTCAGAGAGCCTGGCGCCCAAGGCCGGCACTCATCGGTCGGCGCAGAATTCCAGAGGAAGGGAGCTCTCTTAGAACAGGCGGGGGGCTCTGTTTGGTCCACCCTTAAACGTGTCCAGTCACTGGCCAGCACCTGTGGACAGCTTGCGGACTCCTGAGTCTAGCAAAGTCCACGGTGCACACAACTGCCCACTGAGGACGGGCAGGCGAGGGGGCCCTCCGGGCCGCTCAGGCCTCCGGTCTAACCACTGTGTCCACGGTGGGGTGGACGGTGGGAGTGACTCCTGGCGGGAGCCCCGGGGTCTGCCCTTGGCCTCGGAACAAGGCTGCACGAACCTCACCTGAAGGGAGTTGGGTGGTGGCCCCTCTGCCCAGGCCTGCGTGAGCCCGGGGCTCCCTCCCTGGGGGCCGGCCCCACTGTCTCGCTCGCCTTCTGTCATTTGTCTACGGTCAGCGGGGAGGGCTCCAGCCACACGAGATCGTCTTCCTGGAGGGAAGCTGTCTCAGTGGTTCTCAAAGGTCCCAACTGCTGGTGGCTTTGAGAAACAGCCGCCTCGCCAGCCAGTCCAGAGGTGCTCCGAGAGAGCTCCATGGCCACGGCCCTTCCTCACCAGGAACTGAGGGGCCACCAGGGCAGCCTGCTCGGTGCCAGGCCAGGCCCCCCAGGAGCTTCCCTCCCTCTCTGCCTGTACAGCCTCTTTCTCACCTGTCCAAATGCAGCATGGGATTGGGCCTCGTTCCCAGGGCCTGGACCGAGCCGGGCCAGGCACGGCAGGTGGCCCCAGAACCCCCAGGCACGAGCTCCGGGCCAGGCGGGTCCCAGGGTCAGGGTGGGGGTGCAGGGCCACTAGTCAGTGGGGGCAGGGAGGGGCTGACACCAGTGGCGTCCACGTCTGTGGCTGCCCAGCACACCCGGGGTGTCTGGTCCAGCAAGTGCCCAGTGGGCTCTGCTGGGGGCGTGATTGAAACGCTAAATTCTGTTTAAATGTTTAATAAAACGAGTATTTATTAAGCACCTACTTTGTGCCAGGCACCTTCACCTGCTCTGCACCCACAGCCCGGGGATCTGCTGGAGGTGAAAACCAAGAGGAGTCGGGGGAGACCCTGCAGGGCGGCGGGGCGGCACCCCGCCCACCCCCACCTGCCGTCTGCAGGCGACGCCGCAGGGCGGGGGACCTTCACTCTCTGAACGTGGCTCCCACACGGGAGGTGCAGAGGTTTTTCATATTTGGATCAGAAAACACTTCCCAGTTCCTACAGTTGCAACAGCCCTTAAGAAAGAAACAAGCGCCGGTGTGAACGCGAAGGCAGACCTAGCTCTGGGTTCCTGAGTCAGAATCTTCCCCGAGGCAGTAGCCCGCTGGCCAGCGCCAGCAGGAGGGACCGCGGGCCTGGCCTGAGACAGCCGCGCCCGCGCGGATGGAGGCCACAGGCCAGGGCGGCCGCCCCAGCGGGGGGACCCCTAGTGGTCGGCGCCCAGCTGGGACAGGCCGCGGCGGAAGTGGTGCAGGTCGTCGATCTTCCCGTCCAGCACCTCCAGGAAGCTCTTCAGCTCCCCCTTCAGGCGGCTCTGCCGGTACCGGCTCTCCTCCATGTCCGTCTTCAGAGCCCGCACCTTGTCCTCCAGCGTCTGATTGTCTCGCTCTGCCGCCTGCAGCGACACCACAGGGGAAAGGTCGGGCCGGGCCACCACAGCCCAGAGCCTGGCCTCAGGGTCCCGCCCACGGCCCACCAGCCCGCACCCCGACTGCAGCACAGGCAGCGGCGCAGCCATGGGCCCTGCCCTCCCGCCTGCACTCGGCAGATGTGCCAACATCCGTGGGCCCCACGGAGGACGCAAGCTGGAGTCTGCCGGGCGCCCGCTGCTCTTTGACCCCCTCACAGGGGCCGGCGCGTCACACTCCCAGCTAAGGGGCTGGCGGCCAGGCCCAGTGTGGCCAGCTGAGCCAGCGGGGCTCCATTCTGACAGAAACAGAGGGGAGAGGGGCCAGGGCCCCGTGGTCAGCCTCTGGCTCAGTGAGGAGGACCCTGCTCCAGGGCGGCACGGCCTGTGCTGTGTTGCCGTGCAGATGTCAAGGCCCGGGCAGGCGGGGAGTGCCCTGGCAGCCCTTGTGTCAAAGGGGAGCCCCAGTATGCTGAAGGGGCCTCTGGCCGAGGCCCGGGCCCTGGGGCTCCGCGGCCCTGCGGTGGGCGGCTCCTCGCCCCGTGAGAGGGAGGCCGGGAGACAAAGGCTCCGCGTCGTCCTGGGGCAGAGGCCCTGGCCTTTTCCGAGCAGAGCACCCTCGTCTCTCCCGGCCGGCATGGAGGGGAGAAGACGAAAGGCCGGCGTGGCGCCCTCACCTCCAGCTTCTCAGAGACGAACGCGCACTCCGACATGAGCTGAGGTATGAGCTCGCTCTGCTTCCGGAGGTCCCTCAGCTCCTGCGGGAGGCAGAGCGTGAGCAAGAGGGGGAGGCGCCTGGCCCCTGGCCGGCCCCGGGGACGTCTGCCAGAGACCCCCCACCAAGGGGACCCACCCTCCGTGGTTCCCGTCTGGAGGCGGGGGTGAGGCCGAGAGAGACTGGGGCCTCGGCGCCCCTGCACTTGGCCATCCTGCCCCCAGAACGTGACTGCTGGGGATGGGCCGGCCGCAGTGTCCAGAGACCTTGGGGGCATGACCGCCTCCCTCTTGGCCCTGCTGGACCACGGGAACAACACGGCCGGGGGCCCCAGAGGTGACGGTCCGTCGGGCCCTCGCTCTCAAGCGTGTGTCCTGGCGGGACTCCGGGCAGGGTCAGCGCATGGTGGGCCCCAGGGTTGGGGCCCCTGCTGGCCGGGCGGCCTGGGGACTCACCGTCTCCCTTTCCCGGAGCTCGGCCTCCAGCGCCTCGATTCTTCTCTCGAGCTGGGCGCTCTTCTCCTTCTCCCTGCTGGCCTCGCTGCACTGCTGCTCCAGCTCGTCGATCTAAAGCAAACAGCACGGTTCAGAGCCAGAGGCGGGTGCCTGACCCGGGCCGTCTTCTGAGTCACACCCTAAACGGACCCACTTGGGGGCTCCTCCGGCTACAGCCAGGCCCCGGCCTTGGCGGCAGCCCCCAACACAAAACACCTGGCTTGGTCCCGGGAGCAAGGAAGCCCCTGCCTGGCTTTCCCCGCCAGCCTCGGGGCAGCACCTCGAGGTTCCCTTGAAGGCCCGGCCCCAAGCAGGGGCCGGGTGTCCAGGAGCCCCTGCTCACCCCAGAGCGCCCCTCCCCGCCGCGTGTCCTGCATGATCCTGTCTCTGCAGTGCGAGGCGGCAGCAACCCTGGGGCAGAGGCCGCGGGAGGCGCTGGCAGTCAGACTTTCCCGGCAGAGCCTGCAGGGGCTGAGCACAGGGGGGCCAAGCACAGAGGGGCAGAGCCAGCAAACCTACTGGCCCAGGGGCATCTCCTGCCGCTGCCGCTTTCCGCGGCTGAGTGTGAGGGAGAGCGCACGGCACACGAAGCCCATTGATGGGGTGCCCCTGCAGCCAGAGGGGCCCTCATGGGGGTGCTGTGAGGACCCTTGTCTGGGAGCTGCACCAACCAACCCATGGGGTCCAAACCCCACATGCTGGCCTCCTGTCTGGGTCAGGCCCTCAGCGCTACCCATGGGTGAGGCCACTTCCCCTTGGCTCCTACACCTGATGCAGAGCGGGGGACTTGGCCATTTGCTCCAAGACGACGAAGGGCTGCGGGTCTCCCGCAGGTGGAGGCGCCTGGCCGGGAAGATGCTGACTCAGTACCTGGCCAGGCGCCCTGGTGTCCAGCCTGCAGCATCTGGAGGAGGGTAGAGCCAAGGACCTCACACCCGTGAGCACCCCAGCAAGCCGCAGGCTTGGGGGTTGGCCCTGCTGGCTCCCTGGTCAGGTGGTCAGGTGGCAGCCGGGCAGAGGAGCGCACACCCCTCCTCTGTGTGCTGTGCCCCGAAACTGCATAGGCCACCAAGTGTGCCCATGGCCCCCAGAGCATCGTCACCCCTTCCCACTCCATGGGGAGTGCACAGGGCACCCCCAAACTACGCCATCCGATCCGCCCCCGGCAAAGCCCGTAGGCTGCAGGTGGACGCTGTGCGGGAGGCCCAGGTGCAGGAATGGGGGGAGTCAGGCCCAGGTGGCCCAGGAGGCCCCTCCAACCCAGGCCATTCCCAGCCTGTTTCTATTTTTTTTTTATTTATTTATTTATTTATTTATTTATTTTAATAGAGGCATGTTTTTTATTTATTTATTTGTTTTGTTTGTTTTGTTTTGTTTATACAAGCACTGGGTACAGTCAGAAGCGCGGGAGGGTGAGAGAATTCACCAGAGCCAGAGCGGGGAGCAGAGCAGGCAGAAGGACCGAAGTACACTGCTGAGGGGAGCAGCGGGCGGCAGGAGAGGTCTGCGCGCCATGTGGGACCCTCCTCCGGTGGCCGGGGAGCAGCCGGGATTCAAACTGGCGCCGCAGAGGCCGCGGGCAGCTTCGCAACCCAGCGCTCAACCGCTGCGCCACCGGGCAGGCCCCCAGCCTGTTTCTAGAAAGCAGGGTTTCTGGGGTTTCTGGGGCCCCCCCGTTTCCTGGGTGGCGCGTCTTCACTTGCCCTTGCATCCCTTTTTCTCCACTGAGGAACCCCCAGAAAACAGCAGGCAGGGCCGGCCCACAACTGCCGGGGCGCCCTCTGGGGCGGGGTGAGGATGACGCGCTGGGCCGAGGGCCACCCCCAGGCCAGGCACTCACCTTGCCACGCAGCCGGTCGTTCTCGTCGCGGCAGGCGGAGAACTGGCGCTTCCACTGCTCGGCGCCGGCCGCTGACTCCTGCAGCGCCGCGCTCAGCCGCGCATTGCTCTCCCGCAGCGTCTGCAGCTCCACCTCCCACTTCTTCACGTTGGCGGCGCTGCGGGGCAGGCGGGCAGCGGTCACCGGCGGGCTCACCCTGCCCACCCCGGGCCAGGCTGCGAGGAAGGGCCGGGCCGGCGCCCTAGCGCCTGGACGTGTCACCGCAGAGCAGGGGCGCCGGGCCGGGGAGTGGCCGCGCGGTGGAGGCCGTGCGCCCCTGCTCCTCTGGCCCCCGCGGGACACTGGTCAGGTCCTCCCTGAAATGAGCCGCAAGGACAGAGGTCCGGGCGTCCGGGCACCCGGGCCGGGGCTCTCAAGGTCGAGGCTGCTCTCCAGAGCCCGGGCTTGGGCAGGAACCTGGCCCGGTGGTCCTGGTCCCTGGAGGGGGGCCTCCGCAGGCCTTCACCAAATGGCGATTTGATAGGGCAGGCCAAGGCCTTGGGACGGGCACAGGACAGCGGCTGCGGACAGAGGAGCCGGCAGCCGGAACCCCGGACAGTGTGAGGTTCTGGCCAGGCCAGCGGGTCACTGCTGGGGCACTGTGGGCCGGTCGGGGCTCCTGCACCGCGGGCCGGCAGACGCTGTCCGGGAGTCACAGGTTGCGCCTGCCCGCCGCCTCCAGCCCGCACGCCCTCCCACGCGCGCTCAGCACACACTCAGCACACACTCAGCACACACGTGCGGCAGGTTGCTGGGGTCACTCGGAGAAGGGCCGGGGCCCTGGGGCCTCCCTGTGGCCGGAGACCAGGTGGTGCTCGCAGGATCCTGCCTGTCCTTGTCCCTGCCCCGCAGGGCTGACCCCGGGTGGCCCCGCGCCCCTCACCATGCGCCCCTCACCTCACGCCCCTCACCTCTGCGTCAGCGCAATCTTCAGCTTGTCGTTCTCGGACTTGAGGTGCGCGTCCCCGGGGCCCGCGTGGGCAGCCTTCTCGTCGTCCGTGCCGTTGACGCTGGAGGCCTGCGCGCAGACAGGGCTCACACCGGCTCCGGCCAAGAGTGGCCGTGCACGCCGGCACCTGCCCCAGCACAGCCGGGCCCACCGGGTGGGGGGCGAGGGCAGGAAAGGGAGAGGCCGCAGGTGCCCCAGGGAGCCTCGAGTCCCAGCACCTGGCTGGGGACAGCGCGGCCAGCAGGCTTGGACTGCAGCTCGCACTATGGGGAGACCACCAGCCCCGGCGCTCCTTCAACGAGGGAGCCGCCAGCGAGGGGAGAACAAGAATGGGGCGGGTGACGGCACTTCAGAGGCCCAGGCGGCTTAAAACCTGGGCTCTGGTGCTTGCCCAGCAGCACACACACTAAAATTGGAATGATGCAGAGAAGATTAGCATGACCCCTGCGCCAGGATGATATGCAAATTCGTGAAGCGTTCCATATTTTTCAGTGAGATACCATCTCACACCAGTGAGAATGGCACATATCAGAAAAACTAGCAATAGCAAATGGTGACGATGTGGAGAAAAAGGAACTCTCCTGCTGAGCTCCCACGCTCCCACTGCTGGTGGGCGTGCAAACTGGTCCAACCACCATGGAGAGCTGTGTGGAGATTCCTCAACCTGCCAAAGATGGAGCTTCCATAGGATCCAGCAATTCCACTCCTAGGTATTTACCCAAAGGACACAGAAACATCAATTCCAAAGAGCACCTGCACCCCTATGTTTATAGCAGCACTGTTTACAACAGCTAAGCTTTGGAGACAACCCAAATGCCCCAAAATAGATGACTGGATCAAGAAGATGTGGTACATATATACCATGGAATATTACTCAGCATTCAAAAAAGATAAACACATGCAATTTGCAGCAACATGGATGGAGCTGGAAGGGATCATGCTCAGCGAAATAAGCCAGAAAGAAAAAGAAAAATACCGGAGGGTCTCACTCATGGCAGGAATCTAGAAAACCTAAATAAGGGACCAGGAAAATGACTAATTATAATAAAGTAAAAATCAAAATCAACAAACAACTATGAACCAGAGACACACTACGGGGAGGGGGGTGGGGAGAGAGGAGGGATTAGGGTCTAAATCAGGGGGTGGGAATTGCATGGGGAATATAACCAGGATGAAAATGCATACATTATGCAAAAATGAAAAATGATGTAAAAAAACACACACACACACAAAACCTGGGCTCTGGAGATGTAGATGGACGTGCTCCACAAGCCAAGAGTCAGGCGTGTGCTTTGCACCACTCAGCCTGACCCTGACCACCTGAGGTGGTCACTCAGGCTGGCCCTGACAGCCTGGGGCCGAGCCAGGGTCTCAGGAGGGTCCTGCTGGGCCTCCCATGAGCACAGACGCGGGGGGGAAGTACGGAGGGACGATGTGCCCCTGGGACTGACTTTACATTGCAAAAAAAATGCCATAAACAAGATTAAAATGCCAACAAAAACTTGGGGCAAACACAAGCTGCGCAACAGTCCCTGAAGACAACTTTGAGGCCTCCTAGACGAGCGCCCGCCCCACAGCCCAGAACTCCGCGGCCTTCACGGAACACCTGCCCGCGGGGCTGCCCACTCCGCTCCGCCTGGCGCCCCACGCGCTCAAAACTACACCGAAATCTCAAGTTCTAGGGACTTCATAGAAAAAAGCTGAACACTTAAAAGGGAGGGGGAGCGGCCTATGCAGGGGATATTTGCGAAAGAACAAACACAGAGACAATAAACACAAAAACAAACAAAATATCCAGTCTCACTGGTAGAGAAATACAAAATGAAAAGAGCCAGGCAGGCACATTTTTCTTCTGTCAAAGCGACAAAGCCTGGCGGAGGATCCCTGCGGGCGGGGCGGGCTTGGAGTGAGCGGGGTGCCTGCTCGGGACCCTGCCGAGCCGCGCTGCCACGGCGGTCTTGAAGAGGGGACTGGAGGTCACGGAGGATGGTCACCACGTAGGACGCTAAGAAATAAGGTTACAGCGAACGCTGCAGCCAGCACGGGAGGCCGCGCACAACTTGACGCAGGTAGTTCCCACCTCCTTTTCCCAGCAGGGCGCGCTGTCAATTTCTACAACCCGGAGGTTTCACCACAGTCAGAAAACAGCCCACGTGCCATGTTTTGGTTAGACTGCTACAAGCCTTCAAATATTTGGAAAACTCGGCCCTGTGTTCGTTCCCTAAGAGCGTCTGCAAACCGAGCAATTGTATGATTTCCAAGAGAAAGAAAGGTGTCCCGAGATCCCTCCCTCTGCAGGCGCGTCAGGAGAGGGACGCCAGGCTGAGGGGCGGGACTCCCCACGACCAGCACACACATTTGTAGAACAACATCTAGGGGCACACTCGCTTTTTTGCAAGGTTTAAAAATACTTTTGCAGGATAAACAAACACGAACAGCGAGGCCCTGTGTAAGAGACTCGATGCCCAGTTTAGAGACGTGACATCTTTGCAGAGACTCTAGACCAGGGACCATTTCAGGTGGCCGGGTTTACGCATCACAGGGATGACTGAGCTGCTGGTGATTAGTCCACTAGTGAACAACATGGCTGGGAGACTTGGGAACGCGCCTCCGGGCCCCCCTCACCCCACAAACCCACACCCACCGCAGCTCTGGTGCAAAGAGCCCAGGATGAGGCTCTGGGACAATGCTGGAGACCGCGCAGATTCTGCCTCCCGGAAGCGGCCAGGCCCCTCCTGTGCTGGGGTGCGCCCACCCGCTGTGCAGCCCTCCCTGGCTCCGGGGGTGCTGGGGTTTCTCTGCCGGCTCCTTCCCTAGGCCCCGGCCTGCACCTCACCTCCCCACTGCTTCTTCCTGCAGACACTCCAGCTCTCGCTTCTGGGAGGCTCCTGGTCCGTGCAGAGCCTCTCGCTCAGGCCTCGCGGTCCTCTCCCTTCAAGCTGTCCCCACATCCACCCTTCCTCTCTACCCTGGCTGCCTGCAGGGCATCCTCGGCCTGCAGCCTCCTCCCACCCCCGCCCTGAGTCACACCCCAACTTCCTTACCCCACGACACCCCCACACCCGCCTCCGGGGACAAAGGTGAAGGAGCAATAAACTGCAGACATGACTGGGCAGGCCCTTCCGGTGGCTCCAGCACACACACTGCCTGCCTGCAGCCACCCCAGCGCCACCAGGCCCTCTCCTGGCCGGCCCCGCCCCAGAGCCCCCTCCCATGTCTCTGCACAGCTCCTGGAGACCACCACCCACCGGCCCCACCCCTGCACAGACATCAGGGGCAGGCGTCTTTACTTGGGGCTCGCCATCACACTCAGGGAGGGCCCCCCTCTGCTTGGCCAAGCCCTAGCCGCTGGGAGCCCACCTCCCCGACGCCAGGCTCCCGTCCCGACCACCTCCTCCAGGGAACACTCGTCACCTGGTCTCCTTCACGGAGCCCTCCTGCCGCCCGCCGCCCCCGGGGTTGCAGCGAGGCCCTCAGGCCAGGGACTGGCACTGACTCCGCTGTCACGGACCACTGACCATCACAGACGCATCGCCACAGGGCAAAGACCCAGACTCTTGTAAAGACACCCCTCACCCAGCTCACGGGGCGGCCGAGCAGCCGAAGGAGCTTCTAAAGTCCTCCTGCCACGACCCCCGTTTCTTCCCCAAAGTGACAAGGAGCCGCGCCCCCTCCCCCCACACCGGCGACGCCCCCCCAGGCTCACCTGGGAGTGACCGCTCGAGGTCTCCACCTTGTCCTGGGACTTGTCTCTGGCCAGCCTGGCTGCTTCCTTCACCTCCTGGAACTTCTCTGCAAACTAAACCAAAGCATTTGATGCGAAGGTTCCCTGAAGCGTAGGCGCGGCCGGCTCCGGAGAGCCTGGTTACGCTGCACTCATTTTAAGGCCAGACTTTCTATACAAATCCAGAAGAGTTTGACTTGAGATTAGAAAGAGATGATTGAAACCGAATCTAAGGGAAGCTTTTCCCAGGAACCGCGGGCAGCGGCGCCCGGTGCGAGTCCACCTCTAAGGGAACAGAGCCAGTCTGGTGCTGGAAGGGGCCTTCCCGAGAGACGCGTGCCAGGTGGGACATGCCCAGCGTCTGCCATCCGCACGAAAGCCCTTCCCCGGCAGCCATCAGGCGGAGGAGGGACGCCGAGCCCGGGGCGGGCGTGGGGACCTTGCTGTGCCCTCTGCTCTGAACGAGGTTTTAGTATTTTTGTGATAGAAACTCTTAAAATCCCAGGTGATCACATCCCTCTGGCTTGTCGTCACCGAGGAGGCAACTGACTTTAATCAGCAAATACGCCAGGGATCGGACTCAGGGCTCCACGGGGATCGCCCGAGACTGACCCATAGGCCACAGGGAGCCCCATCAGGCACGTTTTAAATAATCATTCAAAAAAAAAAAAGACATGGCCGTGTTGGCGTGAGCATGCCACCACCCCTGGCACTGACATGATGCTACAAAGTAACTTCCAGTCAAAAGAAAGAGGTACGTGTAGACGCGGGCCGGGAAGGGCACCAGCACTCCACACCAGTGACCGGGACACAGAGGACGTAGAAACCGACCGGAAGGTCATGAACACACGGGGAGGACTCGGGCGACGCCAGGGGACGGGCCGGTGGGGCCTGCGCAGGCCCTGCTGCCGCCGCCGCGGCCACTGACGAGAAGGGAGATTTTTTAAACTCAAACCTTCGAGAAACTGGATGTGAACAGAACCAAACATTTATCAGACGTCAAGGGAGACGGCAATTTTCTCAAGTTGGAAGAAAGAAAAGCACAAACGTGACGGGCTTGGCTCATGACAAATGACGGCTTTTGAATGTGAAAGAGAAAAAACACCGTCGGAAGCCGGGAAACCCTCTGGCGGGGCCAGGCGCGCAGGCGGGGGCCTCGGCTCCGGCACAGGACGGGCTTGCGCCCACCGAGAAGGGAAACGCGGACGCCGCAAACGATGAAAGGCAAAATTCGTGAATAAAAAATATAATAAATATGCAACTTAGAAAAAGACGGCCCGGCCTTGCGGGAAACGCGGCGCCGGGGAAGGGGACCGCGGGGGCGACCGCAGCCGCGCAGGCGCCTGGAAATCTCTGTCCCAAGTGAGAAAAATGTTGACACCGACCAGCCGCGCTGGCGCCAGCACCTCTGGGAAACAAGTCTCTGGACAATCAAGGGCATGGGAAAAAGGCTCCGATATAAAGACGTTCACCCTGGCCTGTCCACCAGGAAAGCTGGGAGCGCCCGGGGGCGCGGTGGGGGAGGCTTGAGGCAGATGCCCTCGCGGCCCAGACCGCGGGGTCTGAGACCTGGTATCTGCACCGGCTCTACGTGCCCGTGCCCGCGCCCGAGGGCCGAGACTCCAGGCCGCCCCGCCCCCGGCCCGCGGGAGACCACCCTGAGCCCCGGGCAGGACCACCCACCTTGGTCAGCTGCTGCTCGGAGGAGAACCCCAAGCCAAACACGGTGTTGGCCCTGCTGTCCGCCCACTGCCCGAACTTCTGCGACGTCTTGGTGAAGGTCATGTTGGGCGTGATGGAGCTGTTGATGATCACCTGCGGGGACAGCGGGGAGCACACTCAGGCCCGCCGGGACCCCGCAGCTGCCCGTGGTGCCCCCTGTCACGCTCTGGGGCGAGCGAGATGCCACCATGATGGGCAGTTTCAGAGACAGGCTGGGGAGACCCCGCAGCTCTCGGGGTGGGGGGCGCGCTCTTCTGGCAGAGGGCAGCTCCCCAGACTGCTGCTGTGTCCTGGGCCAATGGCCTGACAGCCCTGCTGGTCACCCATGGCACCAGCTCACTGGCCCCGGTGAGCACAGGCCCTGGGACCTGGTGGTGCCACTGCTGTCCTCGGCCTTAAAGGATGAGGGGCTCGGGCAGCCTGTGGGCGAGGACGAAGTCATGAGGACCTCCTGATGGACACGTGACAGCCGGGGGGCAGAGAGGCTGGGCCCTGAGTTGCTTCCAGGACAGGCTCCCTGTGACCCTAGAACTAAGCGCGCCAGGGCAACTGGAGGGACACCTGCTGCTGGCCAGTCCTGCCCACACTCGCCACCATGGCTCCCGGGGGCAGCCACGGATGCAGTGTCCAGAGCCCCATGAGAACCACAGCAGCGACAGCTCCGTCAGCAAATGCCTCGGAACGAGGTCCTCGCAGTGGGCTTGGCTGCTCTGCCCAAAACTTGCCCTAAATCTTGGGCTGCTGGCCGCAGCGACGGCTAAAACACCAGAGCTCGAGAGCTACCAGGGCGACAGCCTGAGGCTTGGTCCTGCTCCCCGGGTGTGACCTCACCCTGCCTGCTGTCCCCAGGAGGCCACAGAGGAGGCCGAGGAGAGTGGCCTTGCCTTGCCACCACCATCCCCGCCCTTCTCAGGGGCTGTCCAGCCTGGCTTGGTGTGGGGCCCCAAGTGGAGCCCCAGGCCCCAGAGAGCACAACCGCCTAGTGGCCCCAGGCTCAGAAGGGCCCCACAGACCCCCGGGCTTCCAGTCATGCTGGGGCCACCACCATCCTGGGCACTCTGCCCCATGACCTGGGCAGCAGCTGCAGGCGTGGGGTCTGCACGGGGCCTGGCGGCTGGTTTCTTCAGGGCCACCTGCCTCAGGAAGGGGGCCAGCAGGCGAGGCTCCGGCAGCCAGCTCTCAGGGCAAAGGACGCCCCTGCCGGGCCCAGGTAATGGAGTGTCTGCGGCCCTCCCGCCCGGCTGGCGCTCCTGCCACAGGCGCTCCCTGAGGCAGATGGAGGCCCTGCAGGGTCGGGAGAGGGGGGCAGGGGCGGGGCCCTGGGCTGGCGCCAGGGATGGGCGCTGCCAGGTGCGTGGCGGGGAGGTGACCGGAGCCCCTGGCTCAGTCTCCGAATTCCAGGGACCCCTGTGGCCTGGCGCCCCATTCCCAAGGCTCTGGGGGAGAGCGTGCCCACCCTCCTCCCCACCCCAGTCTTACGGCTGGCTCGGCCCCCGCCCCGCTGCCACAGCTCCGACCGCAGAGCCGCTGGGGACAGCTGCTGGCGCGGGGACAAGCCCTGACGGCCCGGCCGAGAGGCCCGCCGTGCCCGCTCAGAAACGTCACGGCAGCTGCACGGCAGCCCAGCGGCCTCTGGTAGCTCCGCTGACGGCCCCGAGCCCCGCCAGGCCTGGGCCCTGCTGAGCGGGAAGGGCGGCGGGATGCCTGCGCGGGCTGCAGCCGGGGCCAGGGCGGCCTCGGGCCCTCGGGTCAGCCCCCTGCCTGCGGGGCGGCACAGCGAGCCGGCCGCAGGGCACAGGCGAGCAGCCCGCGGGGCTGGGGTGGGGTCTTCCCCGGGGTGTGGGGCGACAGCCCCTGGCTGCGGCGCCACAGACACGCGGCAGGACAAGCCGCCTCAAGCTGTCTGAGGAGACGCCCAACCGGCTCATCCGCTGCTGCTCTGCCCAGGCCGCCACGCCACGGGGCCAGCCGCAGGGGAGCGGGCCCGCCGGCCAGGGAGCCCTCGGGAAAGCGGCTTCAGGACCCGGCCCCACAGGCCCGCGACGCCCTCCAGGACCCCCAGGAAACGCCCGAGGAAAGCAGGAGGCGCGGGGTGGAGGGGGCATGGCTGCGGGGCGCGTCCCCCTCGGGGACGGGGAGCCTCTCTTTGCTTTCATTTCCCATCATTTTAAATGAAAAAAAGAAGGGGAGCTAAGATGGGGGTTAAAGCGGGGGCTTCGCTTTCCGACGGGCGCACCCTTGGGCAACGCTGCGCACAGGCCGGGCCGCGGGGGGCCGTACCTTGGCTCCGTCCACGCTGATGACGCGGTAGCTGTTCCTCGTGACGTCGTAGAAGTAGGAGACGGTGACGGCCTGCTTGCTGGCGGGCACCCAGTTCTTCTTGGTGCTGGGGTCAATCTGGAAGACGTGCGCGCGCGTGGTGAAGATGGGCTGCTCGCTGCGGAGAGACGGGCATCAGCGGCGCTGGGGCGCGGTCCCGGGGCCACCCCGCCCCACGTCGGCTTGCAGGGGAGATGCCGATGACGAGGGCCATGAAAACGGTAGGAAGAAGGAAGAGCGCGGAGCAGCCCTGGAGCCCACACCCGGGGCCGGGCCGGCCCAAGGCAGCTCTAGCCTGGCGCCAGCGCGGCCCCCTCCGACCTCGCCACCGGGGCTCGGGCCGCGGCACCTACTGAGTCTAAAGCGTTTATCACAAATGTATTGGGGCGCGGGGAGCGTCTGCGCCAACTGTGGGATTCTGGACTATTCAAGGGTGTCTCCAGCCCACGGCCTCTCCTGAGCCAGGCGACCACTCACAGCAGGACCCGTGGCCGGGGCGGGTGGGAGGACCCCGTCCCCCCCAGGAGTGGCCAGTCCACCCGCTCACTCGGTCTGACGACGCTCTGCAGAGAAACAGCTGCAGCAGCACCAGCCCCGGCTCCCGCCCAATCACGCACGAGGAGAAGCTGCAGGCACAGGTGGGGGCCCCCATCCCGACCCTGGGCACCCCCAGGCGGGCCGCCACTGCCACTGGGCACCACGCTTGCTGGCCGCTTCAGCGCCACACCAGGAGGGAGGAGGCTCGGCTCCTCGGATCCTCTGGTGCAGGGAACGGGGCCAGGATGGCAGGGACTCAGGACAGGCGCCCATGGGGTCTGAGGACACTGGTGTCCTGGCCTGACCTGGGGTCCCCGTGTGCCCACACCAGGGGCAGGGCTGGCCGCGGCTTCAGACCCTTGGACCACCGTCTCCTAGGAACTAGCTGGGCGCTCAGTCAAACTGCAAGTGCCCGGCCCAGTCTGGCCCCAGCCGCTGCTGGGAGGTGACGTGGTGTCTCTGTCTTGCCGCACACTTTCTGCACAACTCTGCTGCTGGCTGTGACAAGGCCAGCCACCATTTGAGGCAGAACCCCGTTATCAGGAAGAGGGGGTGACCCCCAGGCAACCCCAGAGAGGACCTGAGGCCCTTGTTAGCCCCCGCTCCCCCCGGGGGGGAGAATGGAGTCCTGCCCAGGACGTCCTGGCCACAGGCCCCCTGCCGAGCCGGGAGACCCCAGCCCTGGCCAACACCACGGGGGTTCCCTGTTAGAAACTCCCAGGACCAGCCAAGCCAGCCCAAGCTGGGCCACAAAATGGGACGTGTCCAGGCTGCTCTCACACAGCAGCCGAGAGCCATGCGGGGCCTCCCGACGGCTCGCTGGACGCGGGCTGGGCCCTCGTGCTGGGGCAGGGCTGAGAGTGGGCAGCGTGGTGCACAGAGAAACCAGGGATTTCAGGCACCCGGGACACTCACCCTTCACGTCGGGACGGGAAGACGTGACCACAAACTAGCCTCCCCGAGGAGGTCAGGGAGCCGCAGCCGGACGCGGCGTCTGGCCCCGAGGTGCGCCAACAAGCCAGGGCCAGGAAAGCGAGAGGTGGGACGCCTCGGGGCCGCCCTGCCCCCACCAGGGCCGCATCTGGGGCATGGGCACCTTTCTGCCCAGCCCCGTCCTCACCCGCCGGCGCTCCACGCCCAGCCAGTCTATTCCCAGCAGACCCCACCCCTCCTGCGGCGCTGTAAATAGAAGGCAGATGTGCCCGGGGCCGGCCTCTCTGGAGGCAGCGAGGCACCGACTGTCGTTCCCCTGCTGTCTTCAGAGCCGGAGAAACGCCAGCTGCTGCGCACGGAACGGGGGAACCTGACAGTAATTGTCGCCGGGAACAGTCAGGCGCCGAGCGGCTCTGCGGGCGCGGATGCCGGGGCCGCCTCGGGCCGCCTGCTCCAGCCGCTGCAGCTCCCTGAGACATGAGCCTGCAGAGGACCGGCCCGGCGGCCAGTCACGGAGAGGGAATAAGCTGCAGCGTGTCCCTGTACCTCCCTGAAGGGCGTGGCGGGGTCTCCTGTCGTGGCACCTGTCCAGCTAACACCACGCCCGCTCCGACGGAGACTGAACACAGCACACAGGCGATTCCAAGCCCCCCCGGAGGCCCCTCCATCACCACCAGCCCCGCACGCGGGGCTTCCCACACACGGGAAGACACTCCCCCCCAGCACTGGCTCCTGGGGCGCCAGACATGGCGGGCGGCCCTGCCCTCACTGAGCTCTGCTGCCCACTGCGAGGCCCCGTGCCCGGTGCTCCGCCGGCCGGAGGGCTGCTGGCCCTTCCCGTCCGCCACCTGAGACGGGCGCCTTGCTCCCCGGCCCCCGGCCCCAGCCCTCATGCCAGATGGTTCACAGGCTCCTGCCTGGCAGGGTCAAGTCCCCAGCGCCCAGAGAGGAGAGCTGGAAAGCCAAGCCAAAGGTTCTGGCACATTCTCTTCCGTGTGAGGACGCTAATGCAGGAGCCGTCCTCACGAGCAGGATTTCTCCAAGAGTTGAGAGGATTCTAGCCAAAGATGGCGACACTCGAGACTCCTGGCCTTGGGCAAACCGGCCTGTCCGTCCCAGGCCCCGGGGGAAGCTGCTGGAAGAGTTGTCCCCTTGGCGCCACGACCCAGCCCGGACCCCGAAGGCCCGTGGACGGCGAGGCGGCAGTCTCCGCGTGGGCGCCCCAGAGCTGAGCACAGCACGTCTGAAGGAAGGGGGCCTCGTGATGACCCCCCCCATCAAGGTCCCCGCGGGTCAGGGAGCACCAGCCCCACCTGCACTGAGGGCCCAAGACACCCGCCAGGCAGCTGAGCGCAGGCGCAACGGGGCATCGCCCCGCCAGGCTGCACCCCTTTCTAGTACTACCACAGCATCAAGGGCAGAAGTGCCGCCGGCAGCCCTGGCCCAGGGGACAGGCATGGGGCCACCACGGCCCTGGGCTGGGTCGGCTGCGAGGCCCCAGCCCTGCAGCACCCACGGGGTCAGGAGCAGCTCAGGGCTGGGCTCTCGGGGACACTGGGCGGCCAGTCACCGGGGAAACAGGGGCTGAGGGCAGGCTCTGGCTGCCCCCTCTGTCCACCCTCTTAAGGGCCCTCAAAAACCCAACACTTGGCTTTAGGGACAGAGGTGCCTGAGCTGAGGTCTCCCCGGACAGCTCTGGCTGGCGGCCTGCAGCGACGGGGGCAGGTGCAGAGGCCTCCTTTGGGTCCTCCTGGGCAGCATGAAGCCGCCGGACAGTGCCTCAGGCACGGACAGACGCTGCCATGCTGCTCCCCTCCCGCCAGGGCCTGGGTCCGCTAGGGACGGGCCCCATTCCTCTTCATGGGGGTGCCCTGCCTGCTCGTTCCCATGGCCTTGTGCACCGGCTGAGCGGCGGCGCCCAAACGTGGGCTCCCAGCCAAGCGTGCTCCCTGAACCCCGCCTCCCCGCACCCCTGCTCCAGGAATGGCTCTACCTGTCCTCTCCCCCCACCCAGGCCCTGAGCCCCTGCCTCGCCCGCCGCATGCTCAGGCCAGCAAGCTGAGCCCAGGGCCCGCCAGCGGCCAGCAGGGCACAGCCCCAGGCCCACAGTGTCCCCTAGAACCTGCACACAGGGCGGCAGGTGCTGGGGGCCCTGGGCTGTGGTTTAGGGCAGCGCCTGCACCCACTGGCCCCCAAGGCGCATGGGGCACGCAGATTCGACTTCGCGACAACGCGATTCGACTTCGAGTCCAGGAAAGACTAACGAGGCCGCGCCTGCAGGCACCGACACGGCGGGCATGAGGCTCGTCCTCGTGTGCATGAAGCTGTTGCCGGACGGCATTGCTCAGGGCCGGGGCAGACTGGGGCGAGCGGGCCAGGCCAGGGGAGCCGGACAGGGTAGTCACTGCGGGCTGGGGAGAGCGGGGCAGGCGGTCACTGTGGGCTGGACGGCCTTGTGCCCGCTTCCCCGGGGGCGGCACAAAACACTCCTGTCTCCAGGCCGGGACACAGGACCTCGGGGACGACGGCCTCTCTCCCACCTGCCCCCAGCTGTCGGTGAGCAGCCCCCCACGCCCCAGCAGGCCCCGCGCGAGGTGACAGGCAGGCACGCTCTGCCCAGGTCCCCCGAACAGCTCAGTCAGGGAGGGTGACAGCCAGATGGGTGGACCAGCCACCTCCCTTCGGGCTCGGCCCCCAATCCCGCCCTTGGCCCCCATCATACAGGGCTACATGTCGTTTGCGGGACGAGTCAGCTGCCAACCCCACAGGGTCAGGCCCCGTGACCTCCGGAACCGACATTATTTATTTTAGCAAAGCAACCAGGAGCGAACTGGAAAGTCCAGGTACCTGCAAGGGCAGAGTCAACAAGTCAGCACAATGGAGCACTGTGAGCCGCGCGGAAAGGCTCTGACACCCGTATGAATACTGCCCCGCGCAGAGCCAGTAGGTGCCCGCGGCTCCAAGGGCAGAGCCACGCGCCTCTCAGCGGCACCGTCCCGGGCCAAGGCCAGGCGGGCTGTGCAGAGCAGGCAGCCCTGAGCCCCTGCTGGGCCCGGCGCGTTTTTCTCCCGCCTCCCTTCTCCTGTTGAGTTTTCCAGTGTCTTCCAGCTGCGCCTCCATTCTGTCCACCGGCTGAGCCCCAGGCTCCGTCCTGAGGCAGCACCCACAGCCGCGGCTCCCGGTCCCCTGCACGGTGCTTCTCGGCAGCACTTTTCATTGACCCCGACCCAGGCGTCCTATCTGCCCCCGACAGTCTCCCCCACGCCTCCTGCTTCGCTGGGGTGGACCATTCACCCCAAGCCCTGCCGGTCAGACGTGGCCTTTGCCCTGCCCGAATCCAAGACTGGCCTGGCCAGGGGCCAGCTCCCTAGAGTGGCCGAAACAAAAGGCCCAAACTTGGTGCTTCAATAAGGACCTCCTGGCCGGCAGCTGGAGGCCAGTCACTCGCTGGGCTGAGACCAGGGTGTCGAAGGGCCTGACTCCAGGGAGGGCCTGTCTCCTGCCCTCTCCAGCTCGAGAGCCTCTGCTCCCCCTTCAGAGCCACTGCGCAGCGGGGATCTGCATCCCTGCTCCTGGCTGTGGGGTGAAAGCCCCGCCCCTCCCTCAAGGGCCGTGTGAGGCGTCAGGGCCACCAGGACAATCCAGGCC